CACATTTTGCTGACACGTTTTGAAATAAGCAGGCCTCTGGACACACTGTCCCAACACTGCCAGTGCCATTGCAGGGTACTTGTAGCCCATAGAAGCTATTCCAGGAGACCAGTCAGCTGGATCTGACCACCCACAGCAACCATCCAGATGTGTTAGATGCCAGTCTGTCCTGGAGACTGGCTGAGGGTGAGTCAGAACATGGCTGTGGCTCCATGATTTGGATACCCTGTGGGCTCTAACCGGGCAGATCAAGTCATCTAGAAAGGCCTCCCTAGCCAACAAGATCCTTCTTTTATGCTAAGAAATTTCCAAGGATATGATAAATAGAATCAATGTTCATCTGATTTATTTCAAGTTGCCATCAACCAGATGGGTCAGAGAGACTTAGAAAGGAACTGTGGTCTCAGGTTCTGAGTGAACTTCTCATGCAGAAGTGACTAATTCAGAAGCCACCACATACCCCAACTAACCACAAGAACCCTGTGCAGCCACATGGAACAGAATCTGTCAACAGGAGGCTCACAATTCACCCATTCAATCTTGATCTCGGGACCAGGGGTCCTGTAATGTGACTTACTGGCCTGGGGTGGAGGCTAGCGATAGGGGGCTTCACATCCAAGAAATCACCCCATTAAGATGCGCTGGAGCTCTGGCCGGTTTGGCTCAGCGGTTAGAGCGTCCGCCTGCGGTCCGGAGAGACCCGGGTTCGGTTCCCACTAAGGGCGCGTACTTCGGTTGCAGTTTGTCCCCGGCCCTGGTTGGTCGTGCGGGTGGCAGCCACTCGATGTGTCCCTTCACATCGATGTTTCTCTCTCTCTCTCCCTTCCTCTCTCTCCCTCCCACTCTATCTGTACAAAAAATGGAAAAATATCCTCGGGTGAGGATTTAAAATAATAATAATAATAATAATAATAATAATAATAATAAAAAGATGTGCTGGATACCCACAGGCTCATGCTTGCCACCTCAGGAGCTCACAGCTAGTGTGGCTTCAGACAATAACACAGGTACATAACTAGAATCCTGCCTGGACCGTGACAAGGGCCCTCTATAGGTACTACAGGGTCCATAAAGCCGCAGTTTCAGCTCTGGACGGTTTAGCTCAGGTATTAGAGCATCAGCCTGCAGACCAGAGTAGCGGATTTGATTCCAGATAAGGACACATACCTCAGTTGTAGTTCATCCCCAGCCCTGGTCGGGTTGTATGGGAGGTAACCAGTTGGTGTGTCTCTCTCACATCAGTGTTTGTCTCTCTCCTCTTCCTCCCTCGCTCCCTCCCACTCTATCTGATGATAAATACAAAAATATCCTCACCTAAGAATTTAAAAAAAAGAAACAGCAGCAGTTCCAGGCAGAGGAACACCCTCTAAATGGCTCTTCCTTGAACGTTCCACTTTGGATAAGCTACATCCTCTCTGTGCCCCTCATCCAGGCTCATGTACTGCTCAGGAGGTTCCCCCAACCCCAGCTGGACCAAAAGTAATGAGATTGGGCAGGGGGTGAGGGTAAGCAGGGAGAGAGAGAAAAGGGGAGACATCCAGAGAAAAGGGAGAGGCCTGGACTGTACACCTGATGGTTTTTCCCACTGGGTACCCATTCATCCCCTATTCTGGTACTATCACACCACCCTCCAATACCACCACCAGACACCAACTCTCAGCCCACGTGCATGTGCCCCAGGCCTAGGCAATCAGTGTATCCCATGTTCCTGGCCACAATGATTCCTTGAGGCTGGCTACCTCCCTGGTATGGACCAATGACAGCCAGGTCCAGGGGTTTTGTCAGCAAAGGGGAGCGCCGTCTACCAATAATGAACTGTGGGGATCATTCATGAAGCCTGAGAAGAAAGTCAACTCAAGGGAAAGCAGCATAGAAAGCTGAAGAGAGACAGATCCCTAATGATGCTGGTGAGTCCTGGGATCCAGCCTGACATGCAATCTAGACCTGCTCTTATCAGGTACATGAGCCAGGAAATGTTCCCTCTGCCCTAAGCCAACCTAGGGCTCTCCCATCTGCCTACTCTGCTGGGAGTATTCGGAGGACAAAGACACTTTCTTCTCTGGGCTGGTGACAGACTGTCCTCGGGGAAGAGCAGCCACGGAGACAGAGTCCAACTGGCCTTTCCCAGGATACACACTTACAACCATGAACACACTTTCAAACAGTTTATGTCCACATAGACTCATTTTGTAATAGCTGTTGTTTTGGTCTTCTTAGCACCTTGTTTTGTTAATGGGTTATGCTATTTCTCCACCATGGAGGGATGAAGGAAAGGTCATGACCCAGATCAGATTTATCATAATGCTGCACACCCTTGGCCACAGTGAGTGATCAAAGGAGGCATGGGACTCACAACAAACCACTGAGAACCATTCTCTGGGATTTTCCGCACTAGAACTGGGGGAAGAACCCTTCCTCTCAGGGTCTCCAGGCTGGGGGGATGTAAGTCTGGAGCTGTCAGCTGCCACCTGCCCCAATGAATGGAGAAAGCCCACTTGCAATAGGAGAAAAGGCAGGCAAGACACAGGCCTAGGAGAGCTTGCTTTCTGTCTCCCAGTGTCCTCAGTTTTTGCTGCCCAGCTAGAGACTAAATTTACATTCTCCCTTATAGCTAGATGTTGCCATGTGACAAGACAGTAGGAACTTGGGGGCCTGGTAACATGGTAGAGCCCAGCCACCTACCTACCCGGGATCACTTGCCTGTCCCTGTACTGTTAGGTGAAAGAGAAATGACCTGCTATCTGTCTGAGCCACTGTATTTTGATGATCTCTTTGTTACAGCAGCTCAGTCTATACCTTTATTAAAGTGAAGATGAAAAAGATATAACAGTTCTGGTGGGATTTAAATCTTTGAGTATCATTGTCCCTTCAATAATGTTATTAATTCCAGAGTGCCTTCTAAGTGCCAGGAACTATGCACAGTGCTTACATACAGCACTTCACTTCATCTTCACCAACCCTATGGGGTGCCACTGTAATTCCCATTGTAGACTCAGGACACAGAGACTGAATAAGTTTCCCAATGTTATATCCCACTGTCTCTCAAGCTAGATTTCTGTCACTTATGACTTATGACAAAGCAGTTCTGATTGGGTTTTTGTTTCAACTAGTTTGTACGTTCCTCTGTGGAGTACCAACCATATTGTACAGAATTTTCAGGTACTATTAATGATTGCAAGCAAGACAAGTCTCCAAAGACACCTGCTTGCATTTAACTACTCAGACCACAAGTCTAGCTACAAGACAACACGACACAATGCAAGGACACCATCTTCTCAGAGGAGACACTAGGCTTCCTACTGTGGCAGACATCATTAGATGGTTCACCCAAAGCCCACTCCCATCTCCTTTCTCCTTGCTTGCCTGAAATACCAAAATACTCACTTTCTCAGCTTTCTGTACAGCCAGATGACACACTCTGGGGCAATGAAAAGTATAACAGAGGGATCCAGCACAGTAATGGAAAGTATGGGCTCTAGAGACAGAGTGCCTAGTTCACTGTCGCATTAACTGTATAAATTTGGGCACTTTACTTAACTTCTGTTCCTTGGGGAGAATAAGTGCACCAACCTCATGATGGTTGTAGAGATCAGAGGAATTAATAAATGTAAATAACTCAGAAAATGCCCAGTCAGTGTGGCTCAGTGGTTGAGCATCGACCCATGCATCAAGAGGTCGCTGGTTTGATTCCTGATCAGGGCACATGCCCAGATTGTGGGCCTGATCCCCAGTGGGGGGCATGCAGAAGGCGGCCAATCGATGTTCTCTCTCATCAATGTTTCTCTCTCTCTCTCTCACTCTCTCTCTCTCTCCCTATCCCTTCTTCTCTCTCTAAAAATCAATAAAGAAAAAAAAATTTTTTTTTTTTAATCCTCACCTGAGGTCATTTTTCCATTTTTTGTTCAGATAGAGTGGGAGGGAGAGAGGGAGAGAGAGAAGCATTGATGTGAAAGGGACACATCGAGAGGTTGCCACCCGCACGACCCAACCAGGGCCGGGGACAAACTGCAACCAAGGTACATGCCCTTAGCAGGAACCAAACCCGGGTCTCTCTGCACCGCAGGCCAACGCTCTAACTGCTGAGCCAAACTGGCCAGAGTGAAAATAAATTTTTTTTAAAAAGAACTCAGAAGAGTACCTGGTATGGGGCAAGTGCTATGTTAGCAACTGCTATTTTAATCAACTGTATGTGCCAATATGGAACAATCTCTAAGGCAGGCTGTTAAGTCACAGTAGTGAGATGCAGAACAGCAGAGCATTTGTATGACTGTGGAAAGCTGGTGTGTGCATATACACACCTGCTCGTGCGTAGGCAGACTACCTCTGCCAGGGGAGACCAGAACCTGCTCAGAGTGGTGGCCTCTGGGATTCTGAACTGGGAAGACCTACTTCATTACATGTCCCTTCTTTCCTAACTGGATTGGAGTTCTGGAATCATGTATTTAAGTTACTTAAGGATTTTTAAATCGTTTTGTTCTAAGAGACTCCCCCGCCCACTTCCTTTTATTTTACGTTGTTCCCCAACAAAATGGACAGTCAAAAAAGTATGGCAATGATATCTCAATAAAGCTGGAAAAAATTTACAAAGGAAAATGGACAGTCAGTTGCATAAGGCAAGGCATTCAAACACAGGTGGGATGGTAACCTGTGGGACATGCCCTGGAAGATTTCTCTAATGAGCAAGAGGTTATGTTCTGCCAACTCTAAGAGTCACCTTTTTGGTGGCACAAAAGGAGAAGGGACTGGAGGGGAGGCCAGGGTATGATAAACACACATGCAACCATCACACTGCTGGCATCAGACAGGAGACACAGCAGGTGTGCTCCAAGGGCACATTTGTCCCATCTGAAGAACACTGGGTCTAGAGCCAGACAGACATGGCTGTGACCCCTGGGTCAGCCACTCCTTCACTGTATGCACTGGACCAGTCATCTGATATTCGCATCTGTAAAATGAGAGTAATATCCACCTTACAGGGTCGGTATGAGCCATGAACAGAAAGGCACCAGGCATGTCATAAAGTGCCTGAAGAATAGAGGTAGCCATCACTGAAGGGAAAGAGTGATCACCTTCAAATGACTTGTTTGGTTGTCCATCTTTTAATGTACAAACATAAAAAAAAATGACAAACCAGAAAGCAGTTTTACATCGAATGCGTGGAGATAAATACATATAGTTGTCAATCCCACCACCGGATATTGAATCCCTCCAGCACCTGCGAGAGCCTAACCTCCAAGGCCGAACTGTTCCACCCTCCTCACAGAAGACTCAGAGCAGTAACAAGGCCAACATTCTCAGGACTTCACTTCTAAACCTTCCTTCGAAACCAAGAGGCAGAGCAGAAGCAGGGAGGGTTGTACTGTTACCCAGAAGACTGCAAGAATGGCACTGGCAACTCCACTGACTGCTCCGCACTCTGTGCCACAGTGGCTCTAAGAGGTGCCTGTGTGTACATGTGATTGAGCCCAAGTACAGACATTTTGATCTGAACTGGGAGGTTTACGGAAAATACAGGGTGGGTCAAATGGTTCTAGGCCAGGGAACAAGTGTCATAAATGCTACGTCTTCAATGAAGAAGATATATACTGCTGTCCCCAAATGCCTGAGGCAAGCAGTAGCTGCCAGTCTAGTCCATCCACATGGGAGACTCAAACCTGGGACTTTGCAAAAATAAAATCTGGGTGCTGAGGATCCTCCTTCTAGTGAACGCCAAAGGTCCCTTGGTTAAAGTGACAGTTAAGGTCATTTGGGAAAGAAGAAAAATACTAACCACCCCTCCTTTCATGTTTCAGTAGCCAACAGGAATCTGGGCTCTGAAAAGCCACAAACACGTTTTCTTCATGATTATGAGCAATTGCAACTAGCCAAATGTGTTAGTGGCAGGAAAGCTGAGAGTGACCCATGTGAGTGGCACTCACAGTGGGGAGTTTACGGCCATGAGCAGCACATCAGCCTCATGACTGCCGTGCTGGACAGAGTGCTCTGCTCTGCAGCCTGTCTTAGGCAGGACCCAGCCATCCACAAGACCCAGGGTGGGAGTGTTGCGAATAGATGATTCTGTGTCCCACAGATAACGGTATAAAGTGACTGTTAAAAGATACAATTTAAGCAGAGCATTTGGAGACAACTCCTCCATACATTCTATTATTAAAGTCTTAAGAGCTCAGAGCCAAGGATAATTGAGAAATTCAGAAGAATTACACAAAAAACCCAACAACAATGTTGACTGGCTCACTTTGTCCCCAAGTTCATCTTACAGCTCGCTTGAATTCAAGACATGAGATAGATACATTAGACCTGTGTCAAGGGCAAAAACTTCTGGTAGTAGCTCTTGGTGACGTCAATCATCAGCTCCTGGGTACATTCTGGAAGCTCCCCTGAGAAGAGTCCTAGGGAAAGAAAGACCTGGTCAACCGTGGGGAGCCAAGGAAGGCCGACAGCTCTGATTCCTGTTTAAACCCCGAGAGGGCCTTTTTCTTAAGTCATGAAATGTCAAAATGCTAGGTTTTCCATCTTTGGTGCTAACCATCTTCCAGATGATATGAATTTTTATGTGTGGGAAAATAAGTAATACTGTTCTCAAAATGGAGAAATCTATTCCAGGTAAAAGAGCTTAGCACATTATCGCATGACCTGAAGGGTTAAGACAACTGACTACATTGGAGGTTGTTCCAGAGAAGGACTTGTCCATCCCTTGGCTTCTGGTGTGGCAAGTCAGGTGAGCACTCTTGAGGGAAGAAAGTGCCCTGTTATTCATACAATGAAATAAATACAACATTCATCAGATAAAATATGGTGGGAATAGAACAGAAATGTCCTCCAGGGTGACAAAAGATGGGCATCATACTGCAGACCACCTGGGAAAGAGGCCCTCTCCTACACTATTAGTGGAAGTATAAACTCATATGACCATTTTGAGGAGTAATTTAGGAATATCTAGCAAAACTTTAAAATGTTCACACCCTGTGACCTGACAATCCAACTTCAAGTTATTTATACCACAGATAATCTTGCCCAATTGCACAATATACGTATAAAAGCATCAATGCAGCAGTTTCTAATAATGAAAAACCAGGTACTGTACAATTTCTAATAACACCTTATACCAGAGCACAGACTAACTAGACTGTGGTACATCTATGCAATGAAAAACATAACCATTAGAAGGAATAAGGTGTGCCCTGGCTGGTGTGACTCGGTTGGGTGTCGTCCTGTGCACCAAAAAGTTGCTTGTTCAATTCCAGGTCAGAGCATGTGCCTGGGTTTCAAACTCTATCCCCAATGAGGGGTCTATGGGAAGCAGCCAATCAATGTTTCCCTCTCACATCATTGTTTCTCTCTCCCTCTCCCTTCCTCTCTCTCTAAAAATCCATTAAAAAAATTTTTTTTAAGGAATGAGGTAGATCTCAAAATACTAACAAGAAAAACACAGGCCCTGGCCGGTTTGGCTCAGCGGTTAGAGCGTCGGCCTGCGGTCCGGAGAGACCCGGGTTCGGTTCCCGCTAAGGGCACGTACTTCGGTTGCAGTTTGTCCCCGGCCCTGGTTGGTCGTGTGGGTGGCAGCCACTCGATGTGTCCCTTCACATCGATGTTTCTCTCTCTCTCTCCCTTCCTCTCTCTCCCTCCCACTCTATCTGTACAAAAAATGGAAAAATATCCTCGGGTGAGGATAAAAAAAAAAAAAAAAAGAAAAACACAGCCCTGGCCGGTTTGGCTCAGTGGTTGGAGTGTCAGCCTGCTGTACAGAGAGACCCGGGTTCGGTTCCCACTAAGGGCACGTACCTCGATTGTAGTTTGTCCCCAGCCCTGGTTGGTCATGCGGGTGGCAACCACTCGATGTGTCCCTTCACATTGATGTTTCTCTCTCTCTCTCTCTCTTCCTCTCTCTCCCTCCCGCTCTATCTGAACAAAAAATGGAAAAATGTCCTCGGGTGAGGATAAAAAAAAAAAAAAGAAAAAGAAAAAAACACCCAAGGTGCACTGTTAAGAAGGCAACTTTCCACACAGAACACAGTGTGAGTCTGTTTGTGTACACATAAACATTTTACTATATCTATGTTATATACATATCTACCTATACACTCATATACATACAAACACACACATGTGCATGCATATACACACACACACACACACACACACAGTGAGAGAAAATAACAGCTAGGATAGAAAAAAATGGTCTAAAAAGTAGACAATTTGGGGGAACAATCGACAATTCACAGGCACCTTTTACAAATTAGCAGCCCATGTTAGATTTGAAAACATGTTTGGTCTGTAAAATATTTAACCTTTCTTAAAAATTAGTAGCCAACATTTAACAATTCAGAGATATCACATAAACATTCAGATTTTTAGCTCCTCGTGAAATATCTGAAATTAGGCTCGTGTTCGTAACCAGCTATGATGTACTATTACATTGATCTTAGCCGAGAGGCTGAGAAGTGATACGATGGGCTACTACTGCAACCATTTTCATGATCTGCCTGGCTCCTGGGGGCCCCTGAGTTTTTGGTTCCTGACCCAGATTCCTTCTTGGTAACTGCCTCTCAATTTGTTCCATGACTCAGTTTCATGGTGTGGAGCCCTCCAAAAATGTGCCAGTTTTCCTGCAACCTTATCCCTCTTATTAAAGAAGGAGATTGCTAAAACAACGAGGTATCACCTCACACCTGCCAGAATGGCCGCCATCAACAAATCATCAAACAACAAGTGTTGGCGAGGGTGTGGAGAAAAGGGGACTCTAGTACACTGCTGGTGGGAATGCAGACTGGTGCAGCCACTATGGAAAACAGTATGGTGTTACCTCAATTAAAAATTGAACTGCCATTTGACCCAGTGATCCCACTTCTAGGAATATACCCTAAGAAGCCTGAAACACCAATCAGAAAGAATATATGTACCCCCATGTTCGTAGCAGCACTGTTTACAATAGCTAAGATCTGGAAACAGCCCAAGTGTCCATCAGTAGACGAATGGATAAAAAAAGCTGTGGTACATATACACAATGGAGTACTACGCAGCTATAAGAAAGAAAGATCTCTTATTCTTTGAGACTACATGGAGGGATCTGGAAAGTATCATCCTAAGTGAAATAAGCCAAATAGAGAAAGACAAGTATCATATGATCTCACTTATTTGTGGAATATAATGAACATAACAGTCTGAGGAATGGGGTAGTCCCAGAGACGTGGAAGTGGGGTACAGACTGACAATCCCCAGAAGAGGGGGTTAACCAAAGAACTTATATGCATGTATGCATGAACAGTGGACATGGACAACAAACTGGGGACAGGGCAGGGAGGGAGGGGAAGGAGGGAATCAGTGGGGGAAAAAGGAGAAACATCTATAACAAAAATTAATTAATAAAAAAATAAAATAAATTAAAAAAATAAATAAATAAAGAAGGAGATTGCAACAGCAACATTTAGATGGTTAGCATTTGTTGTGAAACTACATAAAATGAACATGGGAAGTATCTTATGACAGTGTAAAAAGTACTAAACTCTAAATAAGGGGTCTAAGTGCTCGTTAAGGCTTCCCCACTAACCAGCTCTCACACTTTGGACAACCCACCCTCTCTAGGCCTGGTTCCTCATTTATACAATGATCTCTAAGGTCCCAGGTAGCTTGAATCCTTCATCAGAAGCTTCAAACACAGTGTTTCCTTGCACTGGAAATACCCAGCAGTGCTTCCCTGACTTCTGCCATCAGCCATAAGATGGTTCTAAGGACTTTCAATAAGTTAAAAGAGATTAAGAGATTTCTCTAGGAATGAACTTTTTTTTAAAAGAGAGGAAGGGAGGGAGGGAGGGAAAGAGAAAGGCGAGAGAAACATCAATTGGTTGCCTCCTGTATGTGTCTGGAACAGGGATCAAACCCACAACCTAGGTATGTGCCCTGATCGGGAATCAAACCCACAGCCTTTTGATGTACAGGATGACACTCCAACCAACTGAGCCACCTGCCTAGAGCACAATGCACTTCTCACCTCAGATGAGATGCTTGTATGACAATCTGACCCAGAACTTGCTGAGAACGGTTACACTTTTTCTCAGTGGGAACCCAATATGGGGAGAATTACTAAAGATGTTGCTTCCTCCTGTGCAAAAGCAGAGATGCATGAAATAGCAGAATAGCCAATTTCTTCCCTAAGGAATCTGGGTGGACAATGTTGTTCATCTTTAAAACTCATATTCAATGATCTGAGTAATGAGGCCATTTAAACTGGAAAAACAGCCCTGGCCGGTCCGGAGCGTCGGCCTGCGGTCCAGAGAGACCCAGGTTCAGTTCCCGCTAAGGGCACGTGCCTCGGTTGCAGTTTGTCCCCGGCTCTGGTTGGGTCACAACCATTCGACGTGTCCCTTTCACATCGATGTTTCTCTCTCTCTCTCTCCCTCCCACTCTATCTGAACAAAATATCGAAAAATGTCCTCGGGTAAGGATAAAAAAAGATATAAATAAATAAATAAATAAATAAATAAATAAATAAATAAATAGGAAAAACAAGTAAGCCACCCTGTAGCAGATATCCATCTGTGAATTTGTGATGTGCCTGTGACACCCCACAGAATTTCAACCATGTAAACATGTGTAAAAAATGACACTGGCCTGGCCAGTGTGGCTCAGTGGATTGAGCGTGGTCCCATGAACTGAGAGGTCCCAGTTGGATTCCCAGTCGAGGCACTTGCCCAGGTTTTGGGTTCAATCCCCAGTAAGGGGAGTGCAGGAGGCAGCTGATCAGTGTTTCTCTCAAACTAATGTTTCTATCTCTCTCTCTCAAAAAAAAAATCAATAAAAGCATATTTTAAAAAAAAAGAAATGACATGGTCTTGTGGTGGGGGGAATGTGAGGTTTCCAGCTTCCCTTGATTTTAGTGTTTTCCAAGCTTTCTAGGACAAGCATGTATTTACTTCTGTTTCCTCACATGCTATGTAGCCGGGAACTCTCAGCTTAAGAGCATTCTGTCAGCCAAGGTCGACAGGTGTCCTAGAGTTGTCACTGTAGCAGACCATGCTTTATGTCTACTTTTCAGTTTGGACATTCCTGGGCAGGGGAGGAAGTATAAGTTCAGATCCCCAGCTAATGTGAGCATAAGGCCATAGTTAGAATTCTCTGGGGAGACTTCCTTTTCCCACCTAGAGCCCAGGCCAAGAGAGACATGCTTCTTTGTACTCTTCCTGTGACTAGTTCTATGTCAACTCTTTGAGGGACACCCTTCAAGAGAACCTCTGCCACGTGTGGATGCAAGGCTTTCTCTCATCCCCACACAGTATCAAACACTCAGCCACTCTATTCTGAAGACATCAACTGAAGCGTGCTTACAGTGTTCACTTTCTTTCCTCTTTGCTTCTGACCCTAGACAATATCCTTGTCCAATTATGTATTTAAATTGTAAACAGGTCCAGCTGGTGTGGCTCAGTGGTTGAGCATCGACCCATGCACCAAGAGGTCGCCAGTTCGATTCCCGGTCAGGACACATGCTCAGGTTGTGGGCCACATCCCCAGTGGGGGCATGCAGGAGGCGGCCAATCGATGTTCTCTCTCATCGATGTTTCTATCTTTCTCTCCCTCTCCCTTCTTCTCTCTCTAAAAAATCAATAAAGAAAAAAAATTTTTTTTTACAAATAAATAAATAAATTGTAAACAGCATTCCTCAGTACTTTGTAGCAGAATAATCTTTAAGTTAGCTAGACTAACATATTGTCAGAGACAGAAATTGCATGAATTGCTTTTGTGAAGGAAAATAAACTTGAGTTTTCATATTCAACACCCACAGTTACCTGGGCAGCCTGAGAAGACAGTGAACGGTGGGACCACAGTTTCTGGGGGTAATACTGTGTTGTCAAGAATTTTGCAGCAGTCTTTCAACACGCACCGACGCCCCTGAAATTAAAATCTTATTAATAGGAAATAGGTCACGAAATAAGACAACATGGACGGCTGTTTTATATTTTCTTCATTTGTGATATATTACAATAGCCAGGCATAGTGACTAGAGGCTTGGCCACAATATTCTACTTCAGATGGTACCTGACAAGCAGGAGGAGGTAGAAATGTGAGTGTGAGTGAGTGAGTGAGTGTGTGTGTGTGTGTGTGTGTACATTTGGGGCAGGGGTTATATGCTAGGGACAGTTCAGGTTATTTGAGCACTACAGACTACATGAAATCCAGTCTTCCAAGGATTCTGTTTAATTTTCCTTCCTTTTTAAAAAATTTAGTGGACATCTGTGTTGCTTACCCAACATCTGTACCCCTTTCCTCTGGTAAGAGAACCTGTATTTCCCTTGGGACCTACCCTTAAGCCTAGCTCAGCCCATATGCTTCACTCCCCATCCCACACTCCAAACCCCAAGCTGGCCACAGAGTCTGGTTTAGGGAATTGGCAGCTGAGCCAAAAACCATTCTGATAAATCTAAATGTCAGGGCTTCTGCTGGGACCACTGGGAAAAGAAGCTCTTCCCAATGAAGTTTCTAAAGGACAGGATGGAAGTGGGAGCAGCCATCTTGTTTCAATGAGGAAAGACCTTGCCTGAGACCCTCCCAGAGAAACACTGAAAAGGGAAGGAGACTGATTCTCAAGACTTCAATTGAAGCCCTAGAGCCACTTAGGAAGGAAATTAGAATCCATTTCTATACTCATGATTCATATTAGCCCATCCATCCATTTGAAGGTGTAGGCTGAACCTTGTCTGACTTTATCCACTACCACCGATTTTCAGTTCTGCCATCACCCACGGCATTCTGAGGGCACGAGATGAGGTCTGGGAGAGCATCTGCTCCATGAGTTAAGGGCAAGAAGAAGCTTCTCTATACAGTTTAGAGGTGTGCCTCAAGCTACTTGCGGTACGTTTTAGTCTTTATTGACTTGCCTTTATATCACGAGGGCCTGTAATTCACTGTGTTCTGGTCACATGATCTGATACAATATACCTAGCTAAGAATGGAAAATCCTAACAAATACCAGGACAATGCTAACCTGTCCAGAGCTCAGATGTTACCAAAGAATATGAAAGATACTTTCGCCCTGGCCGGTCTGGCTCAGCAGTTGGAGCATCGGCCTGCGGACCAGAGTCCCGGGTTCAGTTCCCGCTTGGGGCATGTAACAAAAAAAAAAGATACTTTCATTTAGTCATGTCCAAATTTTCCCCATTATTAAATACTCAAATCAGATGTATTTCCAGGAATTAACAGGTAGATTTCCAAATGAACTGTTTATCTCTAAAAAGCTTATACTTCTAAGGTCTGAATTTTTTAAGTGTTTACTAAGTTGTCTCCAGCTGGGTAGACAATAGCCTTGGCAATATGTGGCCACATCTTTCACTCAGAAGCAAGTCATTACTGCAGCTATTCACCTTCCTTGCCAAGTTCTCTTCCATGAATTCCTTGATATTGGCAATTTCAAAAATCCAGCAACTGACCAGCTCTCTGGTGATTTCCAAATGACCTCAAAGATGACATCTAAGCTCCTATAACTCAGACTAAGCACACATGGGGCCCTGAATAAAAGGAAAGAGAATGTGCAGTGTAAGGCATGATACATTCACATACAGAGACCTGTGCACAGCAGGCCCCGACAAAGGGGAACAAGGGACTGAATCTTCTCACTGTGTACTGCCAGCCACCACACAGCCCGTGTGTGCCTGTTTTGTCCACTGGTTGACCATTCTGCCCACTCAGAAAAATGATGCTTAATTGGGCTTCAGAGCATTCCGGCTAAATAGATCAAACATCAGCAAAAATGAAAATGTAGGAACTTCTTAGGCATAATGGGTTGGCAATAGGGGAGAAGGTTAACAGCTAATCCTCCTCCTTTATTCTTTCCTGGAGAACTTTCCTGAAGGGGTTAAGAAGTACATGTTGCTAGCATTAAGCACCTATATCTTCTGATGCAAGTTATTCAGCATCTCTGAGCCTTGATGTCGTCATCTGTGAAACAGGACATAAAACCAGCCTTCAAGGATGTTGTCAGGATCAGAGTAGGTAAGTATGCAACTCACAGCACACCAACGGCCAATTAATATTGCCTATTGGGCCCTGGCCGGTTTGGCTCAGTGGTAGAGCTCTGGCCTGCAGACCAATGAGTCGCAGGTTCGATTCCAGTCAAGGGCACGTACCTCAGTTCTGTTTTGTCCCTGGCCCCAGTCAGGGGTGTGCGGGAGGCAACCAGTCAATGTGTTCCTCTCACGTCAATGTTTCTCTCTCTCTCTCCCTTCCACTCTATCTGAAGATAAATAGAAAAAAATATCCTCAGATGAGGATTTAAAATACACACACACACACACACACACCACACACACACACACACACACACACATATTGCCTACTGGGCTTTTCCTGCAGGATCTGGGCAATTCTGATTAATATGTACAACTTCACGTATCCAGAGGTCAGACTATCACACAGGATGCCACAGGAAGGATCTGTGTGTCATGGGACATCCCAGACTCTAAAAGAGTTCCTCCTAGCTCTGAGATTCTAGAATTCTAAAAGAATTTTTCTCCTTATATTGACACTCTGTAAAGGTTCAGAAAATAAGTACTACCAATACTGAACAATGGTTACATCATGACTGTCAACTGATGTATTGATAAGTGATCCAAGAAACAGAGCACCTGACAATAGGACTAGAATTCCCCAAGCACTAGGAATAGTATTTGGATTGAAACCTTTCAGATATCTGCTCTAGGGCTAAAGGACTATGACTCTATGGTGACATCTTCACTTTGCTGTGGGAAATAGAAAAACCCAGCTGTGGCTTGGAAAGCCAGCTTTTGTCAGAGTGAGGGGACAAGATGGATTTCACTATCACCCCCTTTCTTCAACAGCAGGCCAAGCAAAAGGCTTTCTCTTTCTGATACTAGGAACTCTGGAGGAGAATAATTGGCAAAACAACCACTTCCCTCAATTCTGAGTAACAAGGCGGGATGGAATGTTTCTGCAGCAACGTGGTTCTGCCCTCATCGTGCCCCAGTGGCTCCTGGAACTAGGGCGCCCAAATGCTGACTGCACAGCTGCTGCAAGCTTTCTGACACTTCAGGGCTGCAGTCTTGTCCACAGCAGAAAGCTAGCTCTGTAGTAATGAGAGCAGCCATTTAAAAACATGAAAAAGGCCCGGCTGGTGTGGCTCAGTGGTTGAGCATCAACCCATACATCAGGAGGTCGCCAGTTCGATTCCTGGTCAGGGCACATGCCCAGGTTGTGGGCCTGATCCCCAGTGGGGGGCATGTAGGAGGCGACCAATCAATGTTCTCTATCGATGTTTCTCTCTCTCTCCTTCTCCCTTCCTCTCTAAAATTAATAAAGAAAAAATAAAAACATGAAAAAGTATTGGCTTTTCCTAGAATCTGGTGTGAGGGACAAATTTAAAGTATAGAAAACATTTTCCCTAAACAGAGTTTGGCTCTGATCATTAACATTCCCATAAATTCTAACTGAAATCAAGCTCTTCACCTATTAAATACCAAGAAACTTAACTTTATGAAGCCTTTGTGGAATCAAACAAAATGACACCAAGGCTCCCATGGACCAGGGTCCTCTGGGGTCTGCTGAACAAGGGACTCCTGTGCACCCTGCATACCCATCACCCTCAACTACCTGCAGTTCCCCTGAAATCATGTCCTGTGGTGACTCTGAGCCTTATACATGCCGATCTTCTAACTGATATGCCCATCCTCCCTGTCTATGAGCCAATCTCATCTCGCCCTTCACTCACTCCTCACCCCACCAGACTGTAAGCTCCCTGAGGCAAGGCAACAGGTAGGCCACATAGCAGCATGACCATTCATACCACCTGGATTCAAATCCCAGCTCTACTCAAGAGCCTCATCAATCCTACAATATCTCAGGTCTTCAGTCTTCTCATCTGCAAACAGGGATAACAATAGCACCTACCACCCTTGGATGGTTGTGAGGGGTAAATGAAAAAATTGAAGGAAAGAGTTTAATGTCACAAGGAAGGGGTTCCATAAAGATTAGCCATAATTATCAGTGTCTAGAAAAAAGCTCCAAATGCAATAATAATGCCAGTAGACCAGAAACTCCTTCTATCTTGTCTGCTCACAGAAGCAGAGGCCCACTGATGTGAGGGACAGGAGCTAGAGGGGAAGTTAGGCTTCTCAGCCTGCCAAGTTCATACTCACAATCACACAGTTCTTGCCAACATGAACGTAAGAGCCAATCTGAGCTGCATTGACCACACAATCTTCCTCAATAAAAACATGGTCCCCGATGTGTAAAGGGAAGAATGCAACACTATAGAAAGAAAAAAAAAGATGAACAAAGAAAAGTCAAGGTGATGTATTTCTGGTCAAGATTTCCAAAACTACATATCCTAATGTCAACTTCATCATCTTTTCTTAATAAGACTATTTCTAGCAAAGAAGAAATCCTTAGGCTAGGGAAATTCTATAATCTTATAATTCTACTAGCTCAAAATCAGAAATATTGGACCAAGAAAACAGCAAGGCAGAAGGGGCAAGGTATTCTAAGCTAAAAGAACTAGAACCAAATAAAAATAAATGAATGTGTGCTCAATTCCTGCTTCCTTTGAACATGTGCACAGATCACATTTTTAGTCATCTACTCTATAACATGCCAGGGACTGACATCAGGTTTGTGAGATATAGATTCTAGCACCCAACATTCTGAAAATGTATATATTCATTCATTTTAATGAGTGTCTACTATATGCTAAACTCTATTCTAGGAATTGGGGATACAATGGCAAGAATAAGCCATGCAATCCTGCCCACAAGGAGCTTACAACAAACAGAAGAAATGAGCCCAGCCAGTGTGGTTCAGTAGATTGAGCACCGTCCCATGGACTGAGAGGTCCTGGTTCAATTCCTGGTCAGGGCACATGCCCGGGTTGCAGGCTCGATCCCCAGTAGGGGACTTGCAGGAGGCAGCCGATCGATATTTCTATCTCACATCGATGTTTCTATCTCTCTCTCCCTTCCTCTCTCTCTCTAAAAAATCAATAAAAATATATTTTAAAAAAAAGAAAAGAAAGAGAAGAGCCCTGGCCGGTTTGGCTCAGCCGTTAGAGCGTCGGCCTGAGGTCCAGAGAGACCTGGGTTCGGTTTCTACTAAGGGCATGTACCTCGGGTGCAGTTTGTCCCCAGCCCAGGTTGGGTCGTGTGGGTGACAGCCACTCAGTGTGTACCTTTCACGTCGATGTCTCTCTCTCTCTATCTCTCCTGCTCTATCTGAACAAAAAATGAAAAAAAAGGTCCTCGGGTGAGGACAAAATAAAAAAAATAAAAATAAAAAAGAGAGAGAAGAAACAAGATTAAATTAAATGATTATATAGCAAGTAGTTAGTTACAACTGAGGAAAGTGCTATAGTTGAAAAATATCATGTTATGTGAGGATATAACAATAAAATTTGACCCAGAATGAAAGTTTGGTAGAACCTTAATTAAAAGTGACAGCCCTGCCCTGGCCAGTTTGGCTCAGCGGTTAGAGCGCTGGATCACGGACTGAGTCGTCTCAGGTTCGTTTCCCGCTAAGGGCACATACCTCGGTTGCGGTTTGCCCCTGCCCCGGTTAGGGTCATGTGGGTGGCAATCAGTCAATGTGTCCCTCTCACATCAACGTTTCTCTGTCTCTCTTCCTCCCTCTCTCCCTCCTGCTCTATCTGAAAATGAATAAAAAGAAATGTCCTTGGGTGAGGGTAAAAAAAAAAGTGACAGCCCTGGCCAGTTTGGCTCAGTGGTTAGAGTGTCAGCCCGTGCACCAGAGATCCAGGTTTGGTTCCCGTACCTCGGATGCAGTTTGTCTCTGCCCTGGTTGGGGTCATGTGGGTGGCAACCACTCAATATGTCTCTCTCATGTCAATGTTTCTCTCTCTCTCTTCCTCCCTCTCTCCCTCCCGCTCTATCTGAAGATACATGCAAAAGTGTCCTCGGATGAGGATAAAAAGAAAAAGAAAATGACATATAAGCCCTGACCGGTATAGCTCAATGGTTAGAGGGGTGGCCCATGCACCAAAGGGTCCCAGATTTAATTCTTGGTCAAGGGCATGAACCTGAGTTGTAGGTTCAATCTCTGGCCCTGGTCAGAGTGTGTGCAGGAGGCAATCAATCGATGTGTCTTTCTCACAATGTTTCTCTTTCTCTCTCCCCATCCCTCCCTCCCATCCACTCTCTCTTAAAAAAAAAAATTAATGGGAAAAATATCCTCAAGTGAGGATTAGCAAAAAAAAAAGCCCAGATGGTGTGCCCTTGACTGGAATTGACTGGAATCGAACCTGAGACTTTTTGGCCAATGCTCTAACCACAGAGCAAAACCAGCCAGGGCTAGGTCACAGCTGTTTACACCAGGGGTGAACACTTAACTCATGCTAAGCCAATTTATTCCCTCTCTCATGAATCTGAAATATGACCTAAGATCCCTAGTTTGTATCTGTTGGAAGTCTAAATGGAGAATGATATAAATAAGGGGCTGAGGCAGCAAGGTTGGCTCCAGGAGGAAAGGGGAAAGACAGAGCCATTCTGAGAGAGAAGAGAGGGAAACAGAAGAAGCGCAGAGAGAAGGACAGAAAAAATAGTACAATTTTGGAAAGAGAGCATGCTAGATATACAGAATAGCTGTCCTGATTCTGGCTAGGTGACTACTTGGATTCTAGTCCCTTCTAAGGCTTGGCCCCTTTTTCTACCCTTAGGTTCCATCAAATAGGCCTGTGTCTTTTTAATAGGAACCCCCTTTGCTTTTGCCAGCTTAAGTGGATTCTGTTTCTGGTAACCCACCAACAATCAACTAGACTTGGACAACCACCACCAGAGTTTTTCTCATTATGAATTCTGACTCAGTGTCCCCAACAACAGCACAGACCCACTCCTTATACCGCAATGCAACACATGGATAATACCACCAGTAGCAGCAGCTTACCCAAGATTGAAACAAGAAAATGAAGTTACATACCCTTTGCTGAATTTCTTGAATGGTGGCCTTATTACACTACGACTTTTCACAACACAATGACGTCCAACTCTTACATTTGCCAGATCCCCTCGGATAATACAGTCATTCATCACAATGGTCTATAAAACAAAGAACACTTAAAAATTATCAACACAGATAAAACGTAACAACAAAAAAAGAGTAGGTAACCAGACCCTGACTGAGAATTGTGCTGTGATCTACTGAGTCACATGTTCTATCTAAAGGTATAACTTGTAAGATTAAGACCTTGTTTGGACCCTGATTTGAACAAAACAACTATAAAAAAACATCCTAAGATACTGGAAAGACTAAGCACGGACTGAGGATTAGATGATACCAGGAAATTACTAGTTTTTAAAAAATTTGTAAGAGAACTGCCCTCATTACACTAACTGCACAGTTTGCTATTAAAATTCAGTCTCTGTGGCCCTTCTTGAGGCATGGAGAGTGACTTTTATCTGCATTACTACGTGGGTCACAAGGGCAAGTTCAGCCACAAATTCTTGGAATTTGAGTTCTGACCTGATGGGAAATTGAGATATGCCAATAACAGCAATTACAAAAATGATGTCATGATCAGAAAAGAGGCTTATGTACATAAAAGTATGATGAAAGAATTGAATAACTGATTGACAGTATGGCCTCCCCCAACCGAGTGGGCTGGCAGGAGCTTGAATTGGTCATTAGAGCTGAACATATTTCTTTCACATCAAAAATTGGTTCCCTTATTGATGTCAATCAATCCAAGGACCCAGAAGGCTTATGAGTATTTTATTATCTTGTCCAGGACCTAAGTGTTTGGTCTTTGATCTTATTAGATTACATGTCAAGATTAAACCAATCTAGATTTGAATATTGGTGTGGACACAAGGTAAGAGTAGCTGTTTTTAATTACCGTTATCGGGAAATTTTTGTGTAGATCAGGCCAATACTTTTTATAAACTATAAATGATTGTCTTTAATAAATACATAACAAAATGCAATTTTTATTGTTTTATAAAGATCTGAATGTGTGCCAAAAAAAACCTGCCTGCAGCTGAAGATGTTCTCTTTACATCGCAAGTTTTATCCTAAACATCCCTTGACTAGGACTCACTGGATGAATAAACATTTATTGGGAACACCTGTAGTTACCTAGTTTCTGTACCTCCTCACATTTATTCAGATTCGCCTGCCCCCAAGCCATGGCTGCTTGCTCAAGGAGAGTCCTGGCCTCTCCTGCCTTTGTCCTAACTGGTAACACAACTAGCTCCAATTTCATGCTCCCAGAGGTGGACTCATTGGGGTTCTAGTACCTCTCCCAATTTCTAGACGCAGATTAAGTGCTACACTGAAGAACACAATATCTAGTTTCCCCAGAGATTGCCCAGAGGAGTTGAATAACTGTTAGGGCCTAAGAACCTGGCCTGTGGCTGATAGAGGCCGCGGTTCAGGACATGACCCCGGAACTAGCTGCACAGGTGCAGACCAGGTAACCCTTCCATAAGCATGACACAGCAAAAGCCTAGGATGCATGTGCCCGCACTGCCAGGTGCAGAGTATCCCGCCACACGAGTCTATAAAAGCTGTCAGAAGTATCGAATAAAGCTGCTGCTTGTTGATCCCTCGTGACATTGACTCGGTGAGCTTTCTTTACCCTGGTAGCTCACTGCCAAAACCTCCCCTGCACCCCCAATTGATGACAATAACACAACCCAGAAATTTGGGGGAATTAATGCTCCATACTTGGTAAAGAGTAGGCATTCTTGAAATGTCTGTTGAAAAAAATGAATGGGGCAAAAAAAAAAGTGCATATGGCTGGGGTTGCAGCTGGAAAGGTAAACAAGGGACCAGATCATGAGGAATTATGTAGGCTGAGCATAGAAGCTTAGACTTTTTTCCCTAGAGGACATAAGGAATCAATTAAAGATATTAAGCTGAGGATTGAAACAAATAAATGTTCCTTTAAGAAATATTACTCTTGAAGCAGTCTAGAGTCTGAATGGAGAAGGCAGGACCTTTCACTGGAGGGAAAGGGACCCTTTAGATGACCACAGTGGATGAAAAGCAATAATGAGCCTTATCTAAGGTAATAGCTGTGCTGAAGAAATAAATTAGAGGTACAGGAATCTGACCAAGCCTCTAGATATAACTACCAATTTAGAGGGAAGACGAGGGATAAAAACTGCATTAAGCCCTGGCCAGTTTGGCTCAGCGGTTACAGCGTCGGCCTGCAGACCAGAGAGACCCGGGTTCAGTTCCCGCTAGGGGCACATACTTCGGTTGCAGTTTGTCCCCGGCCCTGGTTGGCTGTGCGGTGGCAGCCACTCGATGTGTCCCTTTCACGTCGATGTTTCTCTCTCTCTATCTCTTCCTCTCTCTCCCTCCCACTCTATCTGTACAAAAAATGGAAAAATGTCCACGGGTGAGGATAAAAAAAAAATTAAAAAAAAAAAAAAAAAAAAAAACTGCATTAAACAACCCCATGTAAATGCAATCAGCCAAATTCAAAAATCTAAAAATTCTACAGAGGAGTGATCCAATTTCCTCAATATAAAAATGGCATAGGGAGAAAAAGAACGGACAGATTAAGAGAGACTTAAGAAACATAACCAAAAAAAAAAGAGAGAGACATAGCAACCAAATGCAATGTGTACTTGACCTTGTTTGGGTCCTGTTTTTAACAAACCAAGTGTAAAAAGACATTTTAAGATACTAGAAAGACTGAACATGGACTGAAGATTAGATGATATTAGGAACTAGTTTTTGAAAAAAATTATAATAAGTATACTCTACTATTTAAGTCTTTAAATGTTAATGATACATACTCAAAGTATTTATGGGTGAAATAACACAAAGTTTGCAATTTGCTTTAAAATACTCTAGCTCCCCTCCCTGAACCTGGTCAAAATAGGTTTGGGTTTAGGGGGTTAGTACAGAGATGAAATGAGAATGTCAGAATATTGGAAACAAAACAAATAGTTATCCATCAACAGGTGAGGGGAATAAATCGAATTGTACATAGCAGTGAAAATGCACAAACCACATGAATCTTAGAAACAAATAGTGTAATACTAAGTGTTTTCTGTTGTCATTATAATAATTACATGTAGAAAAAGTCACAGAAAACCAAGTAAAGCTAAATACTATACATATTATTTAGGAATACATATGTGGTAAAACATTTTTTTAAAATAAAGAATTTAGCCCTGGTCGGTTTGGCTCAGCAGTTAAAGCATCTGCCCGAAGACCAAGGGGTCTCGGGTTCGAGTCGGGTCAAGGTACAATCCCTGGCCCTGGTTGGGGTCATGTGGGAGACAACTAGTCAGTGTATCTCTCACATCGATGTCTCTCTCTCTCTCCCTCCCTTCTTCCTTTCCACTCTCTCTAAAATTCAATGGAAAAATATCCTCGGGTGAGGATTAACAAACAAAACCAAAAAAATGGATTTATATTAACACAAAGTTCAGGATGGTGCTTTCCTCTTGGAAGGAGGCAGAAGAAAAGAACATAAAGGTAGTACTGCATTAAATGCACTATGTTCCAGTTCTTTAGCTAGGTGGTGGGTTCATGGTACTGACTTAATTTTTGTTTTATAATACTATATCACATACTATTCTTTTGTGTGCACCATATAGTGCCAAATAAAACATCTTTTTAAAAAGAAACAGATGGGCCAAACAACCAAAGCAATCTTGAAAAAGGACAAAGTTTGAAGACTCATATTTTCTGATTACAAAATTACTGCAAAACTACAATAACCAAAACAGTATATAGTTCTTGACATAAGGACAGATATAACCAATGGAACAAACCTGAAAGTCCACAAATGAACCATACACCTATGGCCAATTGATTTTCCATATGATGCCAAGACCACTGGAGAAAGAATAGTCTCTTCAACAAATGGTCTTGGGATAAGTGGATTTCCACATCAAAAAGAATTAATGAATTAGGACCCTCTACATTACACCATATACAAAAATTAACTCAAAATGCATCAGTGACCTAAATACAAGTGCTAAAACCACAAAACTATTAGAAGAAAATATAAAAGTACATCTTTGTGATCTTAGGTATGGCAATGGATTTTTAGATACAAGAGCAAAAACTTGAGCAACAAAAGAAAAAATAAATTAGACTTCAGCAAAATTAAAAATTTTTGTGCATCAAAGAACATCACCAAGAAAGTGAAAAGATAATCTCAGAATAGAATTTATTTGCAATCATATATCTGATAAGGATTTAATATCCAGAATACAGGAAGAAGTCCTACAACCCAACAACAAAAGACAACACAATTTAAAAATGGGCAAAGGACCTTGCCTGGTTTGACTCAGCAGTTAAAAAGAGCATCGGCCGGCAGACCAAGGAATCACGGGTCCAATTCTGGTCAAGGGCATGTACTTCAGTTACAGTTCGGTCCCTGGCCCTGGTTGGGGTCTTGCGGGAGGCAACCAATCAATGTATCTCTCACATTGATGTTTCTCTCTGTCTCTCTCTCTCTCTCTCACCCTCCCACTCGATCTGAAAATAAATGAAAAAAAATCCTTGGGTGAGGATTTAAAATAAATAAATAAATAAAAATAAAAATGGGAAAAGGACTGAATAGACATTTCTCCAAAGAAGACACACAAATGGCCAATAAGCGGGGTGGGGGAGGTGAGAAGAGATAAACCACAGAACTTATATGCATGTATGCATAACCAATGGACATGGACAACAGGGTGAGTTGGGGGATGGGGAGGAGGAAGTCAATGGGTGAAAATGGAGTAACATCTGTAACAAAAAATTAAAAATTAAAAAAAAAGGCTAATAAGCACATTAAAAGATATTTATCATCATTAGTTATTAGGAAAATGCAAATCAAAAACTACAATGAGATAGCATTCATACCCACATCCAAAAAAAGGAAAATAACAAGTTAGTGAAGATGTGAAGAAACTGGTACTCTATTGCACTAAGGTGGGAATGTAAAATGGTTCAGCCCTTGTGAAAAACAGTTACAAAGTCACAAAGTTAAACACAAAATTACCATATGACCCAGCAATCCCACTCCTATACATATACCCAAAAGAACTGAGAAAAGCTACTCAAACAGATACTTGTACACCAATGTTCATAGCAGTATTACCCACAATAGCCAAAATGTAGGAAAAAACCCAAGTGTCTATCATCATACGAATAAACAAAAATGTAGTACATATATATAATAGAATACTATTCAGCCATGAAAAGGAATAATTATATGTGCTACAACATAGATGAATCTTGAAAAAATTATGCTAAGTAAGCTATGATTCCACTTACGAGAAATATTTAGTGTAGGTAAATTCATAGAAACAGAAAGTAGACAGGTTACTGGGGACTAGGGAGAGATGGGAATGGGGAGTTATTCCTTAATGGGCAGAGTTTCTGTTTGGGTGATGAAAGAGTTTTAGAAATAGACAGTGGTTATGGTTGCACAATACTGTGAATGTAATTTATGCCAATAAATAATAGACAAAATAGTTAAAATGGCAAACTTTGTCATATACACCTGTATATATTACCTGAGTGAAAATAAAATCTTCCCTACAAAATCAAAGAAAATGCTTTAGAAATAGCTGAAGGATTTCTAAATGAGTTAGATGGAGTTAACTGAAGTTCCTAATTCTATGCAAAAAACAGTGTGTCTATAATTACTAGTTATGCCTATTACTGCACTATATTTTGCCCATTAAATCTCATGATATGATGGGCTAATGGAGATAGTAACTGGATCGCTACTGAAAATATTTGTGATCTCTTGATTACAGTGAGACTATTTTCCCTCTGGAGGTTAGAGATGTAACATTTCAAGGAAAATGGAGTATTCCAGATGGCAGGAGACACAGACCTCAGTGTTTATTAATCTTAAATATATCTTGATATTTTCTCTGGTTCTGAAATGGTGTAATATTATGTCCAAGTTTATACTCATCTCTCTGCTATTTCAATTTATTCATACTACAAGACTCTGAGCCTTTCATATTCCATTTTACAAACTGATCTCAAATTTTACTCTTTCCAATTTCTCACATTAATTTTAAGAGTCTCAGTACTGAATCATTAACTATTATTAAACAGATAATTATATTAGTATTATTTTAGTTTCTACACTAAAATATTTTGTTACCTATTTATGTTTTGTGTCCAGTATTTCAATATTGTATAACAATTTCAGTTCTGGGTGTCATTGTATTATGTTCCTGGCATAAAAGGAAAAAGGCTTCCTGTTGCCTCCTTTCACTGAACCTCTTATGTATTTAATATATCCAACTTGAAGAATTAAAGAGAGAGAATTTTTAAATGTACAGCAATAAATGTAAGACATGTGATAATCTGTGGAAAGAAATGTATGCAACTTGGAGGTGGCTTTGTCTCTTACCTTGCCATTGAGAACGATGTTCTGACTTCCACACAACACTGACTGGCGACTAACTTTGTTCCCAGACGCCTGAAAGGAAACAGCAGGAAATGAGAGGGAGCAGGCTGAGTGGGTGTTAGCTGCAGGTTTCCTTCAAGAAAGTACATGCTGTAAGAAAAGGACTTGAAGTGGGGTGTAGTCTACAATGGGACGAGTCCATAATTTCAGTAAAGCAAGAGTGGATTAGGAAACTAGAGATTCAAAGGATGAATACAGAATTTGGATGTGGTAGGTCTGTCTATAGCCTAGCGACATCAGAGATGGGGATTCAAGTTCCAATTCTATACCTTTATTTTAAAGCCCTAAACTCAGGATAATGACTTCACCAGTATCATAGAGAATTCAATGAAAAACAAAATAATAGTAGTAACATTGAGCAGTTTACACACATCACGTATTGAATATAAAGAACCTAATAGTCTTCAGCACACAGAAATAAATTACAACAGGTTCGTTTTTAAAAGCCCAAAGCCTGGAGCTGTAATTAATATTAGAATGGATGAGATTTGTCCTGCTTTCTGGAAAGCATTTTATCTCTACGAGGAAAAGAGGACTAAATGAAAAAGCCTAAACTGTCCACTTAAGGAGTAAATAACAGGGCCAGACCAGACACACCCATACACTGCAGGGACCCGCCGGGGTGAGGCAGGGACAAGACGGGGGCACCGGCCCCAGAGGGACGCGGGCTTGGAAAGGGGAGGGCCGACGTGTGAATACGCGCGCACCGTCTCAATGTACTCGGACTTATTGTAGAGCAGCTCGCCCAACTCCATGACCACTAACTCCTTGAAGCAGCTCCGGCTCCTGTCAAACACGGTGAGCCCGTCCTCCGTCAGGGATGCCGGCTACTTCCGGCGAGCCCTGCACTTCCGCTCCCAGGTTGCCTCGGGCCTCATCCACAGCTCGGCTCTCCGCTAGGCGGCCCCGCTCCGTTGCTCGGCGATCCCCGGCTGCGCGTGCGCAAGCCGAGCGCTGAATTCATTCGCGGGCTTGACTGTGCGCATGAGCCAGCTGGTCGCGTGCTGACTATATCCCGGGCGCCCCATTCGTTCCTGGGGTGCCACTGGGGCCCGGGGCCAGCTGGAGTCCTCGTGTCCGCAGCCTCGGGGCCGGCGACGGCTGCTCTTTTCGTTCGTTCGCTGGCCCGATGGAAGAGCCTCCCGGGAAGCCCCTCAGCTTTGAGGAGAAGGAAAAGGTGCCGGGGGTGCGGGAGGGGCTGACTTCGAACTTCGACCCCTTCTCCAGGATTGTAGGCCGGTCTCTGTGTCCCCCGCCGACTCGGAGCGCACTGACCTTTAACCTCTGCTCTTTGGACTCGGGGGCGCCCAGAGAGTGACAGTGGAAAAGCGCTGTACTCGCCTGGTGGCACTTAAAGAACACTCTTCTTTTTTTTACAGCACTAATACATAAATACAAAATGCAAAACTATAGATAAAGCTGAAGTCCCCGTTGACACACTCTGTGCCTCAACGTAGTCGGTCTTGGCTTCTCCCACCCCACTCCTTCAGTTTGTTAGCAGTGGGGGGGGGTGGGGGCGGCTGGGTTGTATTCTCTAACCCCAAAAAGTGATGTGCATTTTTTGGAAAGGAGAATGTTCGTACATGGTACAATCCGAATGGTTCTGCAACTTCCGTTTTCCTTCTCTGTGTTTGACGTCCATGGTAGTGTGTGTTTATCAACCCATTTTTTTTTTTTTTTTACATTCTGTATAGTATTTTGTAGTATGAAAGTGCCATCATTTCTTTAGATATTACTCTGCTGAGTGACTTAGGTGGTTTTTCAGGTTTTGCTTCTACAACAGTAACAGTGTTGCTCTAGCCATTTGTATATATGCCAACTTGTGCTTATGCTGATACTAGCTAGAATGTATCCTGTGCTGGCTGTTGGTGCTACATTCTTCATTCCCATTAACTCAGCAGTCCTCTTATCCCAGCCCGCTTTCTTTATCTCTCTCTCTCTCTTTTTTTTTTTTATCCTCACCCGAGGACATTTTTCCATTTAGAGTGGGAGGGAGAGAGAGGAAGGGAGAGAGAGAGAGAGAAACATCGACGTGAAGGGACACATCGAGTGGCTGCCACCCGCACGACCAACCAGGGCCGGGGACAAACTGCAACTGTCTCTCTCTCTTTTTAAATTGATTTCAGAGAGAGGAAGTGAGAGAGAGAGAGAGCGAGAAACTTCAGTTTGTTGCCTCCCCCATGCACCCCGACCAGGGATCGAACCTGCAACCTGGGTATGTGCCCTGACAGGGAATCGAACCCGTGATGCTCCAACCAACGGAGCCACTGGCCAGGGCCCAGTCCACTTTCTAGTGGGGGCAAGAAGGACATTTACCAGTCAAGATTATTCCCAGATTATTGATAAGCCTAGTGATTAATAGGATGCTGTAAGAAGCAGTCTAGTGTCGATTTAAGAGCTCAGACTCTAGAGCTGGACTGCATGGGATTGAATTACATACCATTTATAAACTGTGTGATCCTGGACAAACTGCTTTCCCTCTGATCTTTCCTAGCCAGCTCCTTCCTCCTCCAGGTCTAAGTTCAAATGGTAGTCCTTAGAAATGACCCTGGCCACCCAACCTAAAGTAGTTCATTCCTGTAACTCAGACTCTCGGTTTATCTATGTATTGATTACCATGTGTACTCATCTGTTTATTTGTTTTCTTGTTTATTATCTGCATCATTCACTATATGTAAGCTTGACCACACTATATATCTAGCACCTCAATCAATAGCTGATACCCTTATTAACGGATACAGCTATTGTTCCCAGGTGGTAGAGATACCTGGACAAATATCTGACAAATAAGAGATTCATTTTCCAAGTGAATGTCTAAGAGTGACAGCTCCTGCTACTTCAGAGGATCTCGCAGCGAGATAGGGGGATGGGGAAACAGAGAAGTAAACAGATGACAGATAATAAGTACCATGATAAAAGCACAGAGAAGTGGAGTATCTAACCTGGATTGAAGAAGAACCTAGATGTCTGTTCCAGGGAAATAAAAATCTAAGCTGAGGCTTGCAGAATCAGTAGGAATTAGCGAAGTGAGTTGGGGAGGAAATGCTGTAGGTGATGAGAACAGTCTGTGTGAAGGTTTTGAGACAGTAGAGGGCTTGGTGCTTTGTGAGAAGTGGGAGTAATGTAGTCTATCAAGGGCCACGCCCTCCACTGCCTCTCACTGAGGGACCAGCTGAACACCACACTCTCATGTCTGGTAGGCACTGTACCCCTTCTCTTTGCTCACTGTACTTCCCACTGCTCGGTGTTGTCTGATGTTTTTCTTCTTGCAGTTGAAGGAAAAATTAGCATTCTTGAAAAGGGAATACAGCAAGACTCTGGCCCGCCTTCAGGTAAGTGAATCTTATTCTCTCAAATTGAGGTATTATAATACAGACTATAAAAACAATTTTTTATAATATGAAGCTTTTTTTTAAATTTCTTTTTCCCTTAAATTTGTTCCTTGAGCTGCTTTTGCTTTCTCTAGCGGGCCCAAAGAGCTGAGAAGGTTAAGAATTGTATTAAGAAAATAGTGAAAGAACAAGAGTGTTTGCTCCAGCCACAAGTTTCACCACAGCTAAACCACTCAGGTAAAGCTAGCTCATTCACTTCTGCTTCTTCATTATTCATTTTCCAGGTGTGTTTGGCTGTGGTTCTTTTTCTCGCAGTCAGAAGATAAAGATGCAATAGACTCTTTAAAGGGTACAATTGGATGGTTCTTTATATATTCACAAGAGAGTGCAACCATCATCACTATTTCTAGAACATTTTCACCACTCCCAAAAAGGAAATTCTGTATCCATCCCACCCATATCCCCTGGCCACCACTAATCTACTTTCTGTTTCTGTGGATTAGTCTGTTCTGGACAATTCATATTAATGGAATCATATAATATGTGGCCTTTTGTGACTGGCTTCTTTTCCTTGACATAATGTTTTCAGTGGTCATCTACCTGAACATACACACATCCAGGCATGCATCATTACCCATTCCCTTTTGCAGCTGAATAATATTCCATTGTACCACCATTTGTGTGTCCATTCATCTGTTGATGGACATTTGGATTGTTTCTACTTTTTGGCTATTGTTAATTTGGGCTACTAAGCTGCCATGAACATTCATGTGTAAATGTTTGTGTAGACATATGTTTCCAATTATTTTGGGCATATACCTAGGCTTGGAATTGCTCAATCACTTGGTAAGTCTGTGTTTAATTTTTTTTTTTTTTGAGAGAGAGAGATCGATCAATTTGTTGTTACACTTATTTACGCATTCATTGGTTGATTCTTGGATGTGCCCTGACTGGGGATCAAACCTGCAACCTTGATGTTTCAGGACAACCCTCTAATCAACTGAGCTAATCAGCCAAGGCTATGTTTAACTTTGAGGAATTACCAAACTTTCCTACAGCAGCTGTACCATTTTGCATTTCCACCATGATGCGTAAGGGTTCCAATTTTTCCACATCCTCCCTAGTACTTATAATTTGCCATTTTAAAAACTATAACTGTCCTGGTGGATGTGAAGTGGTATCTAATTGTGGTTTTAATCTGCATTTCTAGTGACTAATGATGAACATCTTTTCATGTGCTTAGAGGTCATTTGTATATTTTCTTTAGAGAAATGTCTATTCAAATGCTTTGCCAATATTTTGATTAGGTTATTTTTTTTTTATTTATTTGTTTACTTTTTAACATTTTATTTTTATTGATTTTTAAAATTTTTTTAGGGAGAGAGAGAAACATTGATTGGCTGCCTCCTGCACGCCCCCCAGTGGGGAGTGAGCCCGCAACCCAGACATGTGCCTTGACTGGGAATCAAACCGGCACCTCTCAGTCCATGGGACGGGAGGACACTCAATCCACTGAGCCACACAGGCTGGGCAAGTTATTTGTTTTTTGTTTGTTTGTTGAGCCACACAGGCTGGGCAAGTTATTTGTTTTTTGTTTGTTTGTTTTTTTAATTTTTTTTTTATCCTGACCCGAGGACATTTTTCCATATTTTGTACAGATAGAGTGGGAGGGAGAGAGAGGGAAACATTGATGTGAAAGGGACACATCGAGTGGCTGCCACCCACATGACCAACCAGGGCCGGGGACAAACTGCAACCGAGGTACATGCCCTTAGCGGGAACCAAACCCGGGTCTCTCCAGACCGCAGGTGGACGCTCCAACCGCTGAGCCAAACCGGCCAGGGCAAGTTATTTGTTTTTTAGTTCTGAAGTTGTAAGTTCCTAATATTGTGGCTCTTAGACCCTTATTTGATGCATGATTTTTAAATATTTTCTCCCATTCTATGAGCAATAAACTATGCTTTCAGTTGGATTGTTCATTTAGTGCTCTTTTTTCCTCTCAACTTTTAATAATTATACTTATTGTTTATTTTAAAATTAAATTTCTACATATGCACTGTGAAAAATGTCTAGCTGGAAATACTCTAAAAAAACAATGATCGCCCTGGCCGGTTTGGCTCAGCGGTTAGAGCGTCGGCCTGCGGTCCTGAGAGACCCGGGTTCGGTTCCCGCTAAGGGCGCGTACCTCGGTTGCAGTTTGTCCCCGGCCCCTGGTCGGTTGTGCAGGTAGCAGCCACTCGATGTGTTCCTTTCACATCGATGTTTCTCTCTCTCTCTCTCTGTTCCTCTCTCTCCCTCCCACTCTACCTGAACAAAAAATGGAAAAATGTCCTCTGGTGAGGATAAAAAAAATAAAAATATAAACTACTAAAAAACAATGATCATTTCTCATGTTAATACTTAGATTACTTATAACCATAAAATTGGAGGCTGTTGAAATAGGAAAGAGGGCCCAGCCAGTGTGGCTCAGTGGATTGAGTGTCCTCTCGTCCCATGGACTGAGAGGTCCTGGTTTGATTCCCGGTCAAGGCACATACCGGGTTGCACACTTGATCCCCAAAAGGGGGCATGCAGGAGGCAGCTGATCAATGTTTCTCTCTCACATTAATGTTTCCATCTCTCTCTCCCTTCCTGTCTCTGTAAAAAACAAATAAAAACATTTTTTTAAAAGAAGAATTAGTAAAGAGGTATTAAAATTACTTGAGCCCTGGCCATGTGGCTCAGTTGATTGAAGCATCATCTCATGCGCCAAAAGGTTGCTGATTCAATTCCCTGTCGGCACATACCCAGGTTGCAGGTTCAATCCCTGGTCAGGGCATATGAGTGGCAGTGGATCAATGTTTCCCTCTTGCATCTGTGTTTCTCTCCCTCCTTCTCCCTTTCTCTCAAATCAGTAAAACTATATTTTTTAAAAAATTATTTGAGCCACCAAAAAGACATGAAATAAAAATTTAGGTGAGATGAGGAGATGTTGGTCACAGAGTACAGAGTTTCAGTTACACAGAATGAATAAGTTCTAGCGATCTAACATACAGCATGGTGATAATAGTTAATACTGCATCTATATTGTATACTTGAAATTTGCTAAGAGAACTGATCTTAAGTGTTCTCAATATAAACAAAAAAAACCATGTGAAGTGATGTATAAATTAGCTTGATTATGGTAACACTTTATAATGTGTACATATATCAAAACATCACATTGTACACCTTGCATTTATATAATTTTTGTCAGCTCTATGTCAATAAAGCTGTGAAAAAACTAAGAAAAAAGATGATTTCAGTAAAGAATAGATAATCTTTTAGTTTAAAAATTATTTTGCCCTGGCCTGTGTTCTCAGTGGTTAGAGTGTCAGCCTACACAGTCATACACACTCACACATTTTCATACACTCACACACTATCATACTACACACACTCATACACACTTTCATACACTCACACACTTTTATACACACACACTTTTATACACTCATTCACACCATTTATGCACACACATTTTCATACACTCACACACTTTCATACACACTTTCATACACACATATTTTCATACAGTCACACTTTCATACTCATACACACACCCACACACACACTTCCATACACTCACACTTACCCACTTTTATACACTCACACTCATAAACTCTTTCCTACACTCACACCCACACACACTCGCACACACTTTCATGCACTGACACTCATACGCACTTACACTCACATACTTTCATACACTCATACACTTTCATACACATACTGACACACTTTCATACACATATTTTCATCCATTCACACTTTCATACACACACACACACACACACTTTCATACACTCCCACTTCCACACTTTTTTACACTCACACTCGAATCATGGGTTCGATTTCTGGTTAAGGGCAGGTACCTGGGTTGCACATTCAGTCCCCAGCCCTGACCAGGGCACCTGTGGAAGGTAGTCTGTCACTGTGTTTCTCACATCAATGTTTCTCTTTCTTCCCTTCTATCTCTCTAAAAATCAATGGAAAAAATATCCTCAGGTGAGAATTAACAACAAAACAAAATCAATTTTTCAAGCACAATTCTATTTGTTCACATTTACTTAAAATTATTATGGTTTATTAGATTATGCAAAACTTTAACTTTGATCTGCCTGAATGAAATACATTGACTCTTTTTTAAGTAAATATTTATACATAACGTTTTAAAATAAATACGGAATTATTTTGCTTTACTTTATATATTTATTTATTTATTTATTCCTTACCCAAGAACATTTTTTCATTTTTTGTTCAGATAGAGCAGGAGAGAGAGAGAGAGAGAGAAACATTGACGTGAAACGGACACATTGAGTGGCTGCCACCTGCCCGACCCAACCAGGGACGGGGACAAACTGTAGCCAAGATACGTGCCCTTAGCGGGAACTGAACCCAGGTCTCTCTGGACTGCAGGCCGACACTCCAACCACTGAGCCAAACCGACCAGGGCTATTTTGCTTTACTTTAAAAGGAAAATATTAATTATATAATTTTTCCTCCTTAGAACCTAAAACTGAAGTATCTTCTTGTGATGCATTACAAATCAACACCCATCTCAGTGAAGAAGCTGGAGACACTGAGTCTGAGTCCTTTAACCCTGGACGTGGCCCAGTGGAAGGATCACACAAGTGGACAACAGATTATACACAGGAACATTTTGCCTGCAGGGTCAGTGACCCTGAAGGTGAGAAAAGGCAGAGTAAGCTGCCAGGGAGGAGAAAGAATCAGCAGAAGAGAACATTTATTTCACAAGAGAGGGAATCTTTCTTAGACACTGATTCACTTATCTTATCTGGAAAAAGACTAAAGGAACAAGAAGAACTCAATAGAGAAAATCCTGGGACACCTATACTTAAAAGAACTGACTTTTCAAGTCCTCAGTCTGACATTCCAGGTTCTCAAGCACCAGTTACAGAAACTAATGATGGGAATGTGTTAATTCCACCAAATGCCAAACCACAAAGCAGTGTGAATGCTCTCTTAGGAGGAAATCATTTCCCCAGGATGCCCCAACCTCCTCTGCGTACTCAGTCAGATAGCAGTAGTGGTCAGCACCTTCAACATAAGCCTCCTACAAAGAACTGTGAACTTACTGCTCACGGTTTAAAAAATACTAGCTCTACCTCACCTGTAAACTTTGAGGCACGCGACAAAGTGACTGTCTATACAGATAACCCAGAGGCAAATAAAGCTATAAGTGCAGGTGGCCAGCTGCCTAGAAGTCCTGACTTAGAGGCAGACAATGCATATTCTGTGAATGAACTCACTCACAACTTACCAGCAAATGAAAACCAAAACTTAGAAGAACAAAATCACACCGAGGAGTCTTTAGAATCTCCCGGTAATGCCCCTGACAATAGAAATGAATGTTTTCAGGAAAATGAGGTTCTGAGTTCATCTAAGAGTCTTGGCCTAGAAGTAATCTCTCCTGTTTCTGCAGAAAATGAAACACCTTCTTGCACCATGCTCGAAGGCCTTCTTTTTCCTGCAGAATATTATGTTAGAACAACACGACATATGTCAAATTTCCAGAGGAAAGTAGCCCTGGAGGCTGTAATTCAAAGTCACTTGGGTATCAAGAAAAAAGGGATTAAAAATAAAAAGGAAACTACCAAAATTTTAAAGCTTTCCAATGAAGAAACTAACCAAAATGAATATAGGGTGATTGACAAGTGCACAGGACAAGCAAGTTCAAAAAGTCCTTTTCAGAGACTTCTTTCGTTAACTGAAATCATTTCTCCTGCTGGGCCCACTAAGGATGACTTTTCTAGAACAGCGGTTACCCAGCCATCTGGTAGAAGACACAGAGGAAAAAGAAAGACAATCCAAACTCCTACATTACATCATCATGAACGGCTTTTGCCTACTTATGGCCCATCAGGCATTACTAGGTCCGAGGAAGAAGTCACTTTGCACAGTGATCAGAATGAAAAGGCAGTTATTCATGGCAAGAGGGAAGTTCAAGGTAAATCAAGGTGTGGTTGAGGATGGTGACAGCGATGTCCTCTGATACTATGTGCCTGGCACTTGCTAAATGTACAGATACTAATTCATGGAATCATCACAGCAACCCTACATGAGGTAGAATCTGTTTTTATCCTCCCCTTACAGATGAGGAAACTAAGGCTCAAGGAGAGTAAAGTGTTTTAATTAAAGTGACAGAACAGGGGTTCAGCCTGGTTGTGTGATGCCAGAGTTCACTAATGTAGTTGACAAAGTCGACACTGAGAAGGAAAATATATTGGACCCTTACCTAAAATCAGTATTCAGGTACAACACAGTCTTGACCTATGGGTAGAAGTATAACTAATATAGGAAGTGTATTTGAAGTAAAATGAAATGTGTATCAGAGTAAGAGGTCGCTGACTGACTCTCTTAGGAATGATTGTGTAATAAAATGCAATGGATTAAGCAACATTTTTGAATAAAATATCCCATATATTCTCTGAGATGATTTTGGAAGTTAGCAAGTGACATAATTTAAACTTTTTTATTCATTTACTCGGGAGCTGTATCTGATAAACTGAGCGTAAAAACTAGATAATTCACTCTGGTTCTACATTAGGGATCAACAAATTTTCCATAAAAGGCCATGTAGAAAATTGTGCTCTGTCAGAGCTACTCAAGTGTAGTGCAAAAGTTGCCACAGACAACATGTAAATGTGACAGTGTTCCAGTAAAACTTTATTTACAAAAAGAGGAAGCCTGCTTGCTCTGTACCCTTGGACTCAGGCTCTGGTCTGTGAGTTATAATTAATTAAAAATAAGAGTCATTATGCTTTACCATCTTTTAGGTCAACCAGAATACAAAGGAATCATAAAGTAGGGCAATATAGTAAACCAGAAACATTCTTGTGTATATGTTGACATAATCTGCTATTTTAGTAATCTGCAGCTACATTAAATTTCTTTTTCTTGAGGTGACCTTCACATAACAAAATTAACGAGTTTAAATTAGGTGAACAATTCAGTGCCATTTAGTACATTCACAGTGTGCATCCATGATCCCTGCCTAGTTCCAAAACATTTCCATCACCATGCATGGAGATTCTATACCCACTAAGCATTTGATTTCTTTTCCTCTCCCCCAGCCCCTGGCGACCACCAATCTATTTTATAATCTCCATGAATTTACTTATTTCAGGTCAATGCAGTTATACAACGTGTGGCCTTTTCTGTCTGGCTTTCACCTTGTTTTCAAGATGCATACATGTTCTAGCATGTATCCGTACTTTATTCTTTTTTATGGCTAAATGATATTCTATTGTATATATGTACCAGTGTTTGTTTACTTATTTATTGGGTGATGATGCAGCTGCATTTTGAATGGTATATAAGAATTCCAGTCACTAAGAATAGTAAACACCTCTTTGCTTAAAAAGGGGACTAAGTTTTCTTCGGTGAGGAGAGCCAGCATTTTGTAGACTGTATTCTGGTAGCTTGTGGAATCATAGTTTCAGAGTAGAAAGGACTTTAGAGATTCTTAGTCCAGTTCCCTTATGAGGGACCAGGGAAAATGAAGTGAATTGACTTGCCCAAAGCAGCACAGCAAGTCAGTGGCCAAGCTGGGACTAGACCCCCGTCTTCCTTTCCCCAGCTAATGCTGTTAGCACCATACTGTTGGGCAACTGCAGCGGGAGAGCTGCTCGTTAACCACTAAACTGTGGCTGGTGTTTGCACTGTTCACTGAGGTTTTAGTCATGGACAGAAAAGTGATGAACCTTCTTTGTTCGGGGTTAATGTCTCTTGTTAGGTGTTTGTTATTGTTGGTCCTTTCTATTTTAGGGAAGGATGGTCACTGCCAAAAAGAGGACTTCTTTTCTTCCAGTAATAATTCTTGCTTAGCTTTGGACGATGGTGCTTCCTCCAGTGCTTCATCTCATAAGAAAGAAATGCTGAGTTTAAAGCAACTGTCATCTTTTCTCAAAATCACAGACTTTCAGTTACCTGATGAAAACTTTGGACCTCTTAAGGTTGAAAAACTGAAGACTGGCTCAGAAAACCTGATTGAGCCTTTTGGATCAAAATTGTATGGAGAGAGTCATCTTAAAGAGGGAAATTATATTGTTTTGGAGGAACTGACTCCTAAACAAATCAACTTAGAAATGGAGGATTTGGGAGAGGAACTGATTGTTCCACCAGGAAATGCACATCCTCAGATACCAAAGCTAAGAAGCCAGCCTCAGCAGAAGGGCCTTTCCTCATGCACATTACTCTTCACTCCTTTAAATACTTTTGCACCTGATGGCGATGACAGAACGACAGGTGTGTGCTCACCTGCTTTCCCTGTCTTAGGCACCACCCCAGCTCTTGGCTCCCAAGCACACTGCGACCCAGTACCTGCAGAGGTGGTTGGACCAACTTGCTCTTCACCCCGACTCTCTCATGGGAAAGCCAGTGGGAGTAAACAATGCGACAGTTGTACCATCCATCCTGAGTTAGATGGCAGCCTGCACGTGTCAGGAAAGAATGGACTGCCCTACTGTGACTGTGGTTCTGGTCCCCAAGCAACACCTCCACTCAGTAAATCATCCCCTTTGAAAGAAAATCAGCTCTGTGGAAATACATGCCTAGATTCATGGAAAGATTCTCTCAAACAGGTACAGTCTACTTCCTTTATGACATTTTCTCTGAAGGAACAAAATACCTTAATGACTGGACAGCAAGACTCCCTTACACATTTGCTCCGCAGTGTTTAAGGATGTTTTAATGTTGGTATGATATCACTGTAAACTGGAAGTTCATTCTGGGGAAATTAAAGTTAATTTCAAAATATCAGTTGCCCTGGCCGGATTTGCTCAGTGGTTAGAGCATTGGCTTGCAGACCGAAGTGTCCCAGGTTCAATTCAGGTACCTTGGTTGTGGTTCAGTCCCCAGCCCTGGTCAGGTTGTGTGAGAGGCAACTAGTAGATGTGTCTCTCTCACATCAATGTTTCTCTCTTTCTCTCTCCCTCCCTCCCACTCTGTCTAAAGATAAATGGAAAAAAATATCCTCGGGTTAGGATTAAATAAGTAAATTTTTTTGTTTTTCCATTTTTCCATTTTTTGTTCAAATAGAATGGGAGGGAGAGAGAGAAACATCGACTTGAAAGGAACACATTGAGTAGCTGCCACCTGCACAACCAACCAGGGCCGGGGACAAACTGCAACCGAGGTAGGTGCCCTTAGTGGGAACCGAACCTGGGTCTCTCTGGACCACAGGCCGACGCTCTAACCGCTGCGCCAAACTGGCCAGGGCTAAATAAATAAATTTTTAAAAATGTCACCAGTTGCCTCGCCAGTGTGGCTCAGTGGTTGAGTGTTGACCCATGCACCAAGAGGTCGCTGGTTCAATTCCCAGTCAGGACACATGCCCAGGTTGTGGCCCAAATCCCTAGTGGGGGGCATGCAGGAGGTGGCTAGTCAATGTACTCTCTCATCGATGTTTCTATCTCTCTCTCCCTCTCCCTTCCCCTCTCTAAAACACAATAAAGGGAGAAACATTTTTTTAAAATAAAAATAAAAACCGCCAGTGAAGCAGTTTGCCATATGCAGTAGACATTTTGATGAGTGAATGATGCAGGCAGAGGTCATACAGAGAGTGTAGATTAATGGTGTGACTTTTGTTTCTACAGACTGAAAGAGCAGATGTTCCTGCTGGTGACAACCTAAACCCAGGCAACCTACAACTGGTTTCAAAGTTAAAGGTCAGGAGACTCTTACCTTGTCATGTGTCTCACATGTAAAATTCTAATGAATTGATAGGAAAAAGGAGAAGAATTTTATTAGATAGCTTTTTATTCTTAATACTATTAAATAAATTTAGTAAAAAAGACTCTGATAAACAGATTTAAGTTCTTTGTTTTTCACAGTGCTTACCTGTATTTATATTTTGAGATCATCTCCTGAAGAAGTTTATATGTCAAGCTATTGCCAAGGACAACTTAAGCTCATTAACTCAACTTACATAAATTAAAATCAGGCATTTTAACAGAAAGAGGGAAAGAGGAATCATTTGTGACTCTCCTACCCAAGTGATTTAATGTTACTAGGAGAACCACTTATGGTGATTGATCAGAAAATGGGTGGCAGTTCTTTTTTTTTTTTTTTTTTAGTCCTCACCCGAGGACATTTTTTGATATTTTGTTCAGATAGAGTGGGAGGGAGAGAGAGAGAAAGAAACATCGACGTGAAAGGGACACATCGAGTGGTTGCCACCCACACAACCCAACCAGGGCCGGGGACAAACTGCAACCAAGGTACATGCCCTTAGTGGGAACCGAACCTGGGTCTCTCTGGACCGCAGGCCGACGCTCTAACCGCTGAGCCAAACTGGCCAGGGCGGGTAGCAGTTCTTGATTGTGATGTAGTGAATGGTTAATCTTTCATAGGCTATGTGATGTATATGGTTCTGAGGAATATGAATTACAGTAGTCTGTTAATGAGCCCTGGCTGGGTAGCTCAGCATCTTAGAGCGTCGTCTCGATATGGCAAGGTTGTGGGTTCGATCCCTGAGCAGGGCACATGAATCTATATTCATTGGAAGCAACCAATGAATCTATAAAATAAGTGGAACAACAAATTGATGTTTCTCTCTCTCTCTCTTTTCCTCTCTCTCTCAACTCATTAAATGAAAAATTTAAGCCCGGCTGGTGTGGCTCAGTGGTTGAGTATCGACTCATGCACCAACAGGTCACTGGTTTGATTCCCAGTCAGGGTACATACCCTGGTTTTGGGCTTGATCCCTAGTAGGGGACATTGTAGGAGGCAGCTAATCAATGTTTCTCTCTCGTTGATGGTTCTATCTATCTCTCCCTCTCCCTTTCTTTCTCTCTAAAAAGCAATAAAAACATTTTTTAAAAATTATATAAAATAGCCCTGGCCAGTTTTGCTCAGTGCTTAGAGCGTCGGCCTACGGACCAAAAAGTTGCGGGTTTGATTCCAAGTCAAGGGCAGGTACCTTGGTTGCAATTCGGTCCCCAGCCTTGGTTGGGATAGTGCAGGAGGCAACCAATCAGTGTGTCTCTCACATCGATGTTTCTTTGTATCTCTCCCTCCCTCCCATGCTATCTGAAAAATCAATGGAAAAATATCCTCGCCCTGGCCGATTTGGTTCAGCGGTTAGAGCATCGGCCTGCGGTCCTGAGAGACCCGGGTTCGGTTCCCGCTAAGGGCATGTACCTCGGTTGCAGTTTGTCTCCGGCCCTGGTCGCAGCCACTCGACGTGTTCCTTTCACATCGATGTTTCTCTCTCTCTCTCTTCCTCCCACTCTACCTGAACAATAAATGGAAAAATGTCCTCGAGTGAGGATAAAAAAAAAAAAAAAAAAAAAAAAAAGAAAAATATCCTCATGTGAGGATTAAAAAAAATGTTTTAATTATAAAAAATAAATTAAATCTACATAAATAGTTTCTGCTTGGGCAAATCATTCAGCCTGTGATCCCCAGATTGCTTTTCAATAAAAGATACATAGTAATATTAATGTCATTTCAAAGCTATTCTTGAACCAATTTTAATAACTTAGTTTCCTCAGGAATCAATCATTTCATTTGTGTCTTTAATTTTGTAAATAAAGTGTTACTTACATTTTTATATTGTTTTTTGTCTGTCTGTAAGCCTCCCTCTCTCCAGTCCCCCATTTCTAAAACTTTTTTTTCCTACATCAGACTTAAGAGATTTGTCCATTCTGTTGGTCTTCCTGAAAACTAGTTTTTGATTGTATTAATTGTTAATTGAGGTTTTCATTTCCTAATTTATTTCTGTTTTCATCCTTTTTTTTTTTTTTAATAGGTAAGGACTGGGCCCTTTCCCAGCCGTTTTTATTTTTATTATTTTTATTTTATTTTATTTTTCTTTATTGATTTTAGCGAGAGGGGAAACATCAATGAGAGAGAACATGGACTGGCCACCGCCTCCTGCATGCCCCAAACTGGGGACCTGGCCCACAACCTGGGCATGTGCCCTGACTGGGAATTGAACCAGTGACCTCTTAGTGTGTGGGTCAACACCCAACCATGGAGCCACACTGGCCAGGCTGTTTTTATCCTTAATAACTCCTTCCTTCGTTTTTCACTGTGCCTCTTTCATTGTTCTTTTACTTTCTTAAGCTGCTTGCTTGCTTATTTTTATCGTTGTTGCTTTTTAAAAAAAAAAAAAAATTTTATTGATTTTAGAAAGAGAGGAAGGGAGAGGGAGAGAGATAGAAACATCGATGAGAGAGAACATGGACTGGCCACCTCCTGCATGTCCCACCCCTGGGGATTGGACCCACAACCTGGGCATGTGCCCTGACCGGGAATCGAACTGGCAACCTCTTGGTGCATACGCTGAACCAGTGAGCCACACCGGCCAGGCTTCTTCTTGCTTTTTGATAAATGCCTTTATGATTGAGTATATATTTTTTTTTTCTGAGAACTCTTGCTTTGGCCACATGCCACATGTTTGTATACCTGGTGCTCTCCTTGCTGTTCATCTAGAAATATTATGTTATTTCAACCATGGGTGGTTCATCAGAATGTTTAATTTCTTAATGGGTAAGTTCTTATGGGCTGTCTTTTGTAGTTAAATTTGAATGTATTCCATTCTGGAGCTATACTTTTATTGCTTTTTATAAAATACACTTTTATTGATTTTTTTAGAGAGTGAGGGAAAGAAAAATAGAAGCATCAGTGAGAGAAAAACATTGATCAGCTGCCTCCTGCACGCCCCCTACCAGGGATCGAGCCTGAAACCCAGGCACACGCCCTGACTGCAAATCAAACTGGCGACCTTTCAGCATATGGGATGATGCTCCTTCCAGCTGAGCTACCTGCCAGGGCGGAGCTATACTTTTTTTTTTAACTTATCTTTATTGTTGAATGTATTACAGATGCCTCCCCCCCACTTTGACCCCCTCAGAGCTATACTTTTAAATTATATTGTGAGATAAGGGTGTATGGGCAGTTTTTGTAGGTACATGTAAGACTCACCAAGCTCTACTTTGACCTGCATAAAACTTTCATTACAGTTACTTGGTATTTCATCTAATCCTTGTCATGTATCACTTTTCATATTTATTCTCTTCATGAAATAGACCCCAAGTGTCCCTTTAACATAACGTTGTTACCATTCTGGTCAGAATCCTTCAGGTTCCTGTTCTGTCGATGTGGGTGCCGTGTGGTGGGAAATAGCTGGTGTCAAACAGCCGTGTATCGTAACTGCTTGTGAATACGCCGTTTCTCTGTGGAAACCTCTGGGCCCTGGGCAGTGGAGGGAAATGTATTCCTGGCTCTTCACAGAGGTGAGTCCAAGTCTGAAAGAGGTCTTTGTGATCATTTGCATGAAAATGGATGGGCAGCTTACCAAAGTAGGGAGAGGGAGGCTGACACCATGCAAGACAGAACAGAGAGAAGCTGTTTTCCCCAACATTTTATTATGGAAATTTTCAAACATACCAAAAAATAGTGAGCACCATGTACCAGCCATCTAGACCCTACAGTTCACATGATGCTTTATTAGCTTTATCACACCTTTATCCAGAGGTGGATTTTTATACTAGATATGTTGAAGCAGCTTGGAATCTTCTGTCTATTCTGACTTCTAAACTTGCTGATACCTACTTATCCTACCCTTCATGAAAACATTGTTTCTGCTTCTTTTCTGCATATGTTTTCTTCCAGGACTTCATACATGTCTTACCTGGTTGCAATCCTAATGTGCTGAAAAAGAATTTTTTTTTTAATCCTCACCCGAAGACATTTTTGCATTCATCTTCAGATAGAGCAAGAGGAAGAGAGGGAAGAAGAGAGAGAGAGAGAGAAACATCAATGTGAGAGAGACACATAGACTGGCTGCCACCCACACGACCCCAACCAGGGCCGGGGACAAACTGCAACCAAGGTACATGCCCTTAGTGGGAACCGAACCCGGGTCGCTCTGGACTGCAGGTTGATGCTCTAACCGCTGAGCCAAACTGGCCAGGGCAAAATTTTTAATCTGCTTTTTCTCACTTAGCATATAAACATTTCTCCTTCGTACTTATCTATGTAGAATTTTATGTATACAGACTTATTCAGGTATAATTAACAAATAAACTTGTAATATATTTAAAGTGTACTCGTGATTATTCCATGTGTGTATACATTGGGAAGGGAGTCTCACAATTAAGTGAACACATCCATCACTTTGTTAAGTTACTGTTTTTTTCTTTTTGTGGAATCTTTAAGATCTGCTGTCTTAGCAGATTTCATTCTTGTTCTCTGGTATATCCACAGCTTCTAGCTCTGTGTTTTTGCTCAATAAATATTTATTGTAAATGGCTGTATAATGCTGCATTGGCTTACATGCCAGAATTTACTGAACTATTCCCCTGTTGTTAGAAGCACAGGTTGCATTAATAAACATGGCAGTAAACACCGTTTGGCATATAGCATATTTGGATTTATGACTCATTAAATAAAGGGTGTTTGCTGAACCTTCTCATGTTTCTCTGAATGTTGGAAACTATCCTGGTACAGTAAGAATAAAAAACGAATGCAACAAATCTTGGAAAATGTAGATTGACTAAAAATGAAACAACCAAATATCATTTTGGCTCTTTGTATTATTTAGGTTCCAGTGTTACAGATAGTTTCCATGCCTGATGTTTATAATCTTGTGTGTGTGGCTTTGGGAAACTTGGAAATCAGAGAAATCAGGTATGTACTTCTCTAGGAGGAGTTTTTCCCTTTATGTTTAGTTCTTTATCACGGACTGAAGTTTCCTTTTAAAATATGAACCTAGTGTTTTACTATTAAACACTTACTCCTGCCCTGGCTGGTGTGGGCTCAGTTGGCTGGGCACTGTCCTGTGCACCAAAAGGTTGCCAGTTCGATACCTGGTCAGGGCATATGCCTGAGTTGCAGGCTCGATCCCCAGTACGGGGCATGTGGGAGGCAGCTGATCCATGTTTTGCTCTCACATTGATGTTTTTCTCTCTCTCCTCCTACCTCTCTAAAAATAAAAATAAAAATGTTTTAAAAAAGTAATAAAGACTTACTCCTGACTTCTCTGCATTTTTCCTTATATTTGGTTTAGGGCATTACTTTGTTCCTCAGATGGTGAAAGTGAAAAGCAGGTGCTCCTGAGCTCTGGAAATATACACGCTGTGCTTGGCCTGACCGAGAGGAGGCTAGTCAGTAGCAGCAGGACCCTTTGTGACCAGCAAGTAGAGATCATAACATTTGCAGAAGACGGAGGGTAAGAAAAGCACCAGCTGATTTGAACTATTAGAGAAAGAATGATTTTATCCCAGGGTTTCAGAGAAAGTTGGATCCCCATCATCTTGTCCTCCGGTGCTATGAGCATGGTATTGCAGGTTCTCTTCCACACTGGAGTGTAGAGCAGTTTAGGGTGGAAGCGGACATGTGGGGAGGAAGTCAGCGCAGTGGAGAGGCTCAGCAAATATAGTTCGTTCCCTTTGTCTTTGAGATCTCTGTGCACCCCTTAAATGTTATACGTTCCTCAAGATCTTAGGCCCTTCTCTTACTCCACACACTTGGTTTTCATGGCTTAATCTATTACCATCAAGATGCCGACTACTTGGGAACATACATTTCCAGCTGAGCTCTTTCTTAACCTCTAGACCTGCATGCCTATTTATTAGACATCCGGGGTTTCCTCGGATTCAACATGTAGAAAATGAAGCTCTTAGCATCCTCTATGTCTGTCATAAACTCATGTATATACTTTACTTGATTATTATTATTTTGTTGTTGTTCAGATAGAGTGGGAGGGAGAAAGCGAGGGAGGGAGAGAAAGAGAGAGAGAGAGAGAGAGAGAAACATCGATGTGAAAGGGACACATCAAGTGGCTGCTTCCCGCAGGACCCAACCAGGGCCGGGACAAACTGCAACCGCGGTACATGCCCTTAGCGGGAACCGAACCCGGGTCTCTCTGGACCGCAGGCCGACGCTCTAACCGCTGAGCCAAACTGACCAGGGCTACTGTGATTATTTATGTCTGTCCTAATAACAGAGGGCATGTCTTATCTTTTTATAAACTGTTGCAGTAATCTAGATGAGACAAATCATTTGCTTAAATTAGGAGTGTTAATGGAGATGGAGAGAAGCAGACAGATTTGGGAGAGGCGAGATGATAAAATCATTAGGACTGGATGATTGAGGAGTTAAAGAGGAAGGAAACGAAGATAATGTCCACGTTTCTGGGTTGGTCACCTGGGTAATGGTGGTGTACCATTCATTGAGATAGGAATGCAGAAAGAAACACGAGGTTTAAAGAGAGAGCCAGTGAGTTTAATGTTGGATATGATGAGTTTGAGGTACTTGCAGTATATCCAGGTAGATAATATAGCAGTAATACATGTTTATTGTAGAAAGTTTAGCATGTACATGTTTTCTGATTGGAACGTCTTTCTGGTATTAGGTTAATGTTTATTGTGCAGAGTTCAGTAATATGTAGAACGGCTGCTAAGAAACTGCTGAGGTACAGAGTGCTGGTTTTCAATACTATTTTATTTTATTTTTTTGAAGAGATAATGACCGATAATTTTATAAGAAAAGTGAATTCAGATTTAAGCATCTCAGAGAACTCCAAGCAAGATTAAAAGAAAAAGTACTTATGCACATCATATTCCAATGGCTAAAAATAAAGGGAAAGAAAACATTGTAGGAAGCCAGAAGCAAAAGGTACATTACTTACAGAAGAACAAATATAGGAAATACCTCAACTTCTTATTACAAACCCACACTCCAGAAGATAATGGCATGACATTTTATTTTATTTTTTTTTATGAATTTTTTTATTTATTTTTTTGTTACAGATATTTTACCTTTTTACCCCATTGGCACCCCCCACCCCACCCCACCTCCGCCCCGTCCCCGGCTTAGTTGTCCATGTCCATTGGTCATGCATACGTGCATATAAGTTCTGTGGTTTATCTCTTCCCACCCCCCACCCCCTCTTCTGAGGGATGTCAGTCTGTGCCCTACTTCCATGTTTCTGGGTCTACTGTATTCCTCAGACTGTTATGGCATGACATTTTAAAGGGCTGAAAGGAAAGGAAAAAAAAGTCAACCCAGAATTGTGTATCTAGCAAAAATACTTTTCAAAATTCAAGGCAAAAAAAAAATACTTTTTTCAGGTAAATGAAACCTGAGAGACAGACATGTATTACAAAAAGGTTAAAGGTCCTGGCCGGGTTGGCTCAGTGGTGAGAGCATCGGCCCATGGACCAAAGAGTAACGAGCTCAATTCCCACTCAAGGGCACGCACCTTGGTTGCAGGTTCGATTTTCAGCCTGGGTTCGCTCACGTGGGAGGCAACCAATCAGTGTATCTCACACTGATGTTTCTCTCTCCTCTCTCCCTCCCTCCCTCCCTCCCACTCTATCCATAGGTCAACGGAAAAACATCCCCTGGTGAGGACAAAAAAAAAAAGTTAAAGGAAGTTTTTCAGGTGGAATTAAATGATATAAGATAGAAGCTTGGATTTAAGAAATGAAGAGCTTTGACATAGTTAAAATGAGGATACAGATAAAAGAGTTTTTTATTTTCAATCACTGTAAAAGACAATTGTCCACAGGAAAAGTAATGTCAATATATTATCTATTTATAATACCTATAAAAATAAAATGATAATAGCATGAAATATGGGATGGAGAAATTTAAAGTATACTGATGCAAGGTTCTTACAGTATGTGTTGTGACATAATATTACTTGAAAGTGGACTGTGGTAAGTGATAAGTGTACATTGTAAACTCTAGAGTAATCATTAAAATATTTTAAAATAGTGCTAAATTAAAACTACTCAATTACTCCAAAAATGGGCATAAAATGAGGGGGAAAGGAAAAAGAACAAAAAGGAAATAGCAAGATGATTGACTTAAATTCAGTCATATCAATAATTTACATTAAGTGTAAATAAACATACACTTATGTTTAAAAGATAGATTGTCAGATTTTATACAAAAATCTGTTTATGCCGTCAACAACAAAAAAACCTGTTCTAAATACAAAGACATAGCTTAAAAGACACCCTTAAAAGGATAGAGAGAAGATGAGCAAACACTAAAAGAAACTTGAATGGCCTGGCCGGTGTGGCTCAGTGGTTGAGTGTCGACCCGTGGACCAAGAAGTCGCCAGTTCAATTCCCAGTCAGGGCACATGCCCAGGTTGTGGGCCAAATCCCTAGTGGGGGGCATGCGGGAGGCAGCCAATCGATGTTCTCTCTCATTGATGTCTCTATCTCTCTCTCCCTCTCCCTTCTTCTCTCTCTAAAAATCAATAAAGGAAAAAAAAAATTTAAAAAAAAAAAAAAGGGAACCTGAGCAACTATATGAATATCAGACATATAAAAGTAAAAGACTGTGGCCCTGGCCAGTTTGGCTCAGCGGTTAGAGCATCGGCCTGCGGTCCGGAGAGACCCAGGTTCGGTTCCCGCTAAGGGCATGTACCTCAGTTGCAGTTTGTCCCTGGCCCTGGTTGGGTCATGTGGGTGGCAACCACTCGATGTGTCCCTTTCATGTCGATGTTTCTCTCTCTCTCTCTCCCTCCCACTCTATCTGAACAACATATCAAAAAATGTCCTCGGGTGAGGACTAAAAAAAATAAATAAATAAAAGTAAATAGTCATTAAGACTATAAAAGCTTAAGCAAAAATATTCTACTTGAACTAATTGATAAAAACTAATTACACTTGCTAACTAATCACACGTGAAGCATTCACCAGGATTGACCTTCAATACTATTTTAAATGCAGAAGCCAAGGAAAACAGTTTTTGATGCCTCCCGAAGAGACTGTACTAACTTTTGCTGAGATTGAAGGGATGCAGGAGGCCCTGCTTGGCACCACTATAATGAACAATGTTGTTATGTGGTAAGTTTTCCTTGAGACCCTCAGTTTTCTCTTCTCTAATTTCACAGGGTCCTTAAGATTAGATACGAGCCCTGGCTGGTTTGGCTCAGCAGTTAGAGCATCGGCCTGCGGTCCTGAGAAACCCGGGTTCTGTTCCCGCTAAGGACGCGTACCTCGGTTGCAGTTTGTCCCCGGCCCTGGTCGGTCGTGCGGGTGGCAGCCACTCGATGTGTTCCTTTCACATCGATGTTTCTCTCTCTCTCTCTGTTCCTCTCTCTCCTTCCCACTCTATCTGAACAAAAAAATGGAAAAATGTCCTCGGGTGAGGATAAAAAAAAAAAAAAAAGATTAGATAAGAGACTGTAAATATGATTGTGGGGTTTTTTTGTTTACTCTCAGATGCTATATATTTGTCTTACCAAAAACATCATATTAATTCGGACAGTGCAAAAAGATCAGTCTGAGTAGACTATAAGTGAATGAAATTTTATTGGCAAAATGTATGGTGTTTCTGCTTCTGGTTAATGGCTGAGTGGCTTCTATCAGACCAACTTTCCTACTTCAAGTAACTATAAACCCTGGGATAAATATAAAAACCTACTAACTGAAGGTACTGGAGAGTGAGAAAAAGAAAAAAGATACTAAAGGGGGTTCAGCCCTTAGAGAGAGGAAATGTCACTGGACAAGTCTCCTGCTCTTGTGGCTTTTAGAAGAGGGCAGGCCCAGCCCACACACTGGGCAGCCGAAAGCTAACGGAAAACTTCCCGATGTGTTGTAGAATTATACGCCTGAAACCTGTATGATTTTATTAACCAGTGTCACCTCAATAAATTTAATAAGAAGGAAAAACAAAGAAAACCTTCTGTCGCACTGGCTCAGCATGACCACGCAGCTAGAAAGTGAGGCAGACAAATCCCAAACAGTAGAGCCAGAGAAGAGCCCTGAAGTCCTGGCCTAATCTCTGCCGTTGAACTGCGTGTGCAGGGCAGGCTCGGAGAAGCCCAGGCAAGGCAGAAAGAACTGAACTGGGTTGACTGTTTATTTGGCGGGGGCAGTCAGTATTTTTCAGAGGAACCTAAGAGAATCCAGAGTTTATGAGAAATGTCATTCATGATGTCTGGAATACAATCTAGAGTTACTAGATACATAAATGTTTCATTACAGGATCCAAATTAACAACTTAGTGATAGGGAAACTGAAGTCAAGGAGTCCCCAGCCACCTCTCTTTCCTGAGCACAGGAAGAACCTTGCCCAGCCATCAGCACTTGCAGGGTTAATTAATATTAGGAGAATAGATAGATTTTTTTTTCTCAGATGCCTTCTCCATGAACTGTGTCCTTGGGGCCAGAGTGGGTCTTGGAAAGAGAAAGTTGTTACTGCCTACCTCTTCTGCCCTGTGCAATGCTAACCTTCTAGGAATAAGCTAGGAAAGCGTGGCCCGAGAGAAGCCTTGCCGTCCTCACCGGGGAGCCCTGGAATTGACCGGGAACCCTGTGCTCAGATGTCCTGCTGTCTGTCTCCAGCAGCACGTTCCCACGCGGGTACTTTCCCTGGGTGTCAGGTCTTATTGGAGGGCAGTGTCCTTTACAGAAGTTATCTTTTCTATTTGTTCTGCTATTTCTACTGCTGCTGTCATTATTTAGCTCCTAGACTATTAATTTAATCTAGTAATTGCCATTCATCAGTATTCAGCCTCCACAGCATCTTTTGTGCTATTATTTTATAAACACTCTTACTCCTGGCCCTCTCCCCTCCACCCAGAATTAAAGCCTGTGTGGAGCCCGTGTTCGCTTTCTCCGGCTTGCACTCCATCTCCCCCATGCCCCACTACAGACCTTCCTCTCTGCCGTCCCATACTGCTCAGCTCCCTTTTTTCTTCCCATCCCTCATTTACCCCCTTTTGCTGATAGTAGTCTTTTGGCGTTTTATGTATAATGGATCACAACAGAATTTGGGGTTGGGGAGGAACCTCAGTACTTAGCTTCTAAGAGTAAGTTTAAGTTCTAATTCCTCCACAGTTGCCCAGAATTCTGTCATATCACCTCAGCCCTCATTGCTGTGGCCCTGACCTTTAATTTAGCAGGTGCTACTCTGTATTATGAGAGTCCCTGAAGATAGCACCGCCTCTTATATCAGTTATCAGTGCCTGCCTTAGCTCTTCGCTTAGGGTAGCTTCTCAGAGACGTGTGGCTCATACAGAAGCTCTCTTTACCTTTCGGGCTCTCTATAACTATATACTGATGGTGGTTGCTCACCTTGCCTGTGGGACTCCTCATTTGTTAGATGCCTAAAGCAGTTCATGTTATAGTCCAGGTTCAAGTGGACTGTTTTAATCTTTTTTAGTTGTTTTTAGAGAGAAAACAAGGGAGGTAGGAAGAAAGCAAAACATCAATTGGTTGCCTCCCAAATATGCCCTTACCAGGGAAGAGAACCCGCATCCTAGGTATATGCCCTGACTGGGAATCGAACTAGCAGCCTTTCAGTGCATGGGACAATGTGCCAACCAACTGAGCCACACTGGCCAGGGCTCAAGTGGCTTATTTTAAAACTATTGCTGAAGGTTTAAGTATTTAATATCGGTCAGGCTGTATTAACTGAGCACCATATGTCACTTATTTAATAGATATTTGAATCTTCAACTTCTCTGAGAGAGATGCAAAGATGAGTCCCAAGGCCCCTAAAATCTAGTAGGTAAATAAGATTGCTTTACAATTCCAAGTATCAGAGTGATAGAGATTTCGACAGAGTGCTTTGGGATTTGGGGAGAGAGCAATTACTAACTACAGAACATGCACTAACCTCTGTAAGGGATAAATTTAATTCTGGTGTCCCTTGTATGAGGAATACCTTGCATACTTCCATGAGAATTTAGCTTTCCATCTTTACTTTTGGTATATAGTACCTGGGCCACAGAAAGTTCAGAAATGTTTGTTGAATGATTACATTATACCCTGTTACAGTATGTCACATAAAAAATGAGGTGCTCTGGCTGGTGTGGCTTAGTGGTTAGAGTACAGGCTCATGCACTGAAGATCACAAGTTCAATTCCAGTCAAGGGCACGTACCTGGGTTGTAGGTTCATTCCCGGCATGCAGGAAGCAACTGATGTGTCTCTCTCACATGGATGTTTCTTTCTCTCTCCCTCCCTCCCTCCCTCCCTCCCTCCCTCCCTCCCTCTCCCTCTCTCTCCCTCTCTCCCTCTCCCCCTACCTCCCTCCCTTCCACTCTCTCTAAAAATCAAAGGAAAAAATGTCCTTGGGTAAGGATTAACAAAAAACAGGCATGTGGACAGTACTATGTGGAATTGGAGGTGAGATTTCTGTGAACTGGTGCAGACAGGGAGGAGCGAGTCTAGACTGAGCTCCTGCAGCTGGAGGAAATGGGACATGACCTGGCCTTGAGGAATGGATGGGCATTGGTCAACCCGGGGATGGGATTGGCCAGTAATGGGGAGGGCATCGGAATGGATAGTGTGGACCAAGGCAGAGAGCTGGGAACATGCAGAGTGTGTTGTAGGGACAGTGAGACGCGGGTCAAGGAGCAGCGAGCGGCGTGGTGCTGCAGGGCGCAGGGCTGTCCGTGAGCTCGTAAGGACCAGGAAAATGACCGTCTTCATCTGTGGCTCATGGGAGCCGACTGAGTGCTGCACAGGCAGAGTCACACGACAGACGTGATGAATGTCACCAGTCCTCGAGCTAAGGAGTGGTTCCAAAAAGCTTGCTTTTTCCTTCTTTTAGTCACCTTCTTCTCTCCTCTAGTTTTTTTTCCACTTTCATCCCAGCTGTCTTTCCTTCTTTCTCCATATCTTGGGCTGGCTCTTGAATAAGCAGATATTATAGAGACATAATTGTAAGTCTGTTTCAGGTGTCGTCTCTTGCCTAACCAGATTTGGTTTCCTGACCATTGTCTTCCATGGGGAGTTGAAGTGTAACAAGAAGTGTGACAGAATCTTAATGATAGAGCTATACTATGTGCCTAATTTTAATACCAAGTAAAATGAGATCATGGAAACCTTTTCTCCTGGAATTTGGAGAGATTCTCTATAGTGGCATAGCAGAAAGCTAAACTATCAAATGAAACCATTGGCCAAATTAAACAGCATTTCTATTTTTCATGCAATCTGTGACTAAACAAAACAAAGGTACTGTGTCCCTTCGTTTCCCCCTTGGTCCCCTCCTAAAGGATGCTGTGAAAACTGGTTTGCTGGAAGAGTGCCATCAGCTTATCTGTTTTTGGTGTCTCAGGAATTTAAACACTGGTCAGCTCCTGAGAAAGATGCACGTTGGTGATTCCTACCAAGCTTCCATCTGTCACAAAGCCTATTCTGAAATGGTGAGTACCGATCAGCCCGGACACTCTGTCTGTTCCGAGTGTTACTCTTGGTACCACTGAGTAACAGCAGGAACTTAGTAAGTAGTAATTAACTGGCCCTCCCTGTTGCCTGTGTTTTTCAAAATTGGATAGCAGAGTTTGTTTTTTTTTGGAAAAAAAGTGTTGGTACAATATGATTGCTTGGTGAGTTTTCTGGCTGAATGACTTAAGGGCAAACATTAATTTCTGGCTGTGAATTTATACTGAGAAATATTATCCTATTATCAGACTTGGCTCCCAACCATATTGCCATAAATGATTTATGATGTGAGTGAATATCCTGAGGAAGGATGATTAAATGGTCATAGACGTGCTTTTCTCTTAGATTTTAGTGTTCGAACACAGCCTCTTAGCCATTGTGCTAATACAGTTGGCTTACAGTCTGGTGTTGGCCTCTGAAAAGGTTGGAGGTAGTGATCCAGGAGTCAGGGATGACTGTGTCCACTGCTGAGCCACGAGCAGTGGCAGTGGCAGCCCGCTTGGTGCTGTTGGAGGCTGACTTGCTCGGCCCTGCCAGCCTCAGCACGTGGAGGCTCTGGGTGCAGATGCATCTCTCCCTAGCCCAGCGGCATCTTGGACATGAACTCAAAAGTGTTGTGGTCTTAGATAATCTGCCTCATGGTCTTAAGGCTTAATTTTCATCCTAAAATAAGAGGGCCGAATTCGTCTCTAGAATTATTTAATTTACTTACTAATTATTTAAAAATTTTTATATCTTTGGTATTACAACATTGATACCTATTCAATTTTATTTTATTTTTTTTAATTTTTTTTCTTTATTGATTTTAGAGAGGAAGGGAGGAGAGAGAGATAGAAACACTGATGAAAGAGAACACCGATTGGCCGCCTCCTGCATGTCACGCACTGGGGATTTGGCCCACGACCTGGACATGTGCCCTGACTGGGAATTGAACTGGCAATTGCTTGGTGCATGGGTCGATGCTCAACCACTGAGCCACACCGGCTGGGCCCTATTTAATTTTAAAACATTAAGCACAAAAATGGAAAAGAGTAAGTAAAAGTTCCCCGTGAAGCCATCGTCGAGAAATGGTCATTTATACTGGAGTGCAGGAATCGGCAAACATCTCTGTAAAGGCTCAGACAGCAAATATTTCTTTTTTTTTATTTTTATCCTCACCCAAGGACATTTTTCCATTTTTTGTTCAGATAGAATGGGAGGAAGAGAGAGCAACATCGACGTGAAAGGGACACGTTGAGTGGCTGCCACCCGCACGACCCAACCAGGGCCGGGGACAAACCACAACCGAGGTACATGCCCTTAGCGGGAACCGATCCCGGGTCTCTCGGGACCACAGGCTGATGCTCTAAACACTGAACCAAACCGGCCAGGCGGCAGCAAATATTTCCAGCTCTGCAGACCACTCGGTCTCTGCTGCAGCTACTCGGCTCTGCTGCTGTCACACAAAATCACCCAGAGAGGACACACAAGAAGTGGGTGTGGCCACGTTCCAATAAAACATTTTGGAAAATAAAACTTTCCTATGGAACTTTCTAAAACTTGAATTTCATGTAATTTTCACATGTCACAAAATAGTCTTTCTCTGTCTTTTTTTCAACCATTTCAAAATGCAAAAACCATTCTTAGCTCTTGGGTCATACAGAAATAAGCCTTGAGTTAGATTTGACCTATGGGCTGTGGCTTCCAAAACCACATGGCATTCAACATTTTTTTAAACTCTCAGTTGTTTTCTTATTATAAAGGTAATTCATTCTCATTATAAAAATTCAGTCATTTGGCCCTGGCCGGTGTGGCACAGTTGGTTGGAGCATTGTCTTGTGCACCAAAAGGTTGCAGGTTCAATTCCTGGTCAGGGCACATACCCGGGTTGTGGTTTGATTTCCCCAGTCGGGGTATGTATGGAAGGCAACTGATCAATGTTTCTCTCTCGCATCGATGTTTCTCCCTCTCTCTCTCACTCCCCCCCCCTTCTGCTCCCCCCTATTTAAATTTTTTTTTTAAATATTTTAAAAATTCAGTCATTTTGGAAATGTATAAAGTTGAAATGAGTGTTATTAATCCTAAGATGGCCCTATAATTAATTTTCCCTATTTCACCTCCAGAGATAACTATTTTCAACATGTAACAATAGGTGTGTTTATATATGTGTGTGACAGATATCTTCATACACAATAATGTTATTAGCCTGGCCTGTGTGGCTCAGTGAGTTGAGTGTTGTCCCATGGACTGAGAGGTCCCAGTTCGATTCCCAGTCAGGGCACATGCCTGGGTTATGGGTTTGATCCCCAGTAGGGGGCGTGCAGGAGGAAGCTGATGGATGTTTCTCTCTCACATTGATGTTTCCCTTTCTCTCTCCCCATTCCTCTCTCTAAAATCAATAAAAAAATATCCTCAGGTGAAGGTTGGAAAGAAAAAAAAAAACAGCCCTGTCTGGTTTGCCCAATGGTTAGAGCATCGGCCCACAGACCAATGAGTCTCAGGTTCAGTTTTGGTCGAGGACACATGCCTTGGTTGCGACTCATTCCCAACTCTGGTTGGGTTGTGTCGGAGACAACCAGTCAATGTGTGTCTCTCACATTGATGTTTCTCTCTCTCCCTCTGTCTCTCCCTCCCTCCCACTCTATCTGATGATAAATAGAAAACTATCCTCAGGTGAGGATTTAAAAAAAAGAACATGTAATTTTAAAGTTGGGAGAGATTTGTAACACAAATTCCCACAGAAACAATCATAGGTCATGTGTCTTATTTTTGTCACTCACTCTATAAATACAAATGAATAAGCTATTATAGACTGGCCTAAAAGCCCATTCGCCACTTGTAACATTGTATTTTTAGGAAACAAGTGTTCTGAATTTTCAAAAAACAGCTGACAAATGAGCGTCTCTAATCTGAGAACTCCCGCCATGTGTTTATGTGTCCCCAAGCGGGTGGCCTGGGTGGAAGTCATGTCCAAGGCGGAGGGAACTGTTGTGGTAGCCAGACTCAGGCCTGCAGACCAGCTGGAAAGCCGCTAGGAGCCTGTGCTGGGAAGCCGGAGTCAGGTCCCTGACGGTCTCAGCGGTGCCCGCCTGAGAACAGTGAGCCAGCGACGAAATCCCGATACTTACGAACTTATTGATCATTCCTGTGAGCCTTTCATTTTGTCTCTGCCAGCCCTTTCTTTTCCTCACCATGGTCCTAATGATTTCTTTGGTTATTCATTTCTCTTTTAAATCAGGGGCTCCTTTTTGTTGTTCTGAGCCATCCTTGTGCCAAAGAGAGGGGGCCGTCGGGAAGCCCTGTGTTCCAGCTCATTGCGGTCAATCCCAAGACGGCCCTGAGCGTGGACGTGATGCTCTACTATCTTCCTCAAGGGCAGGCTGGGAGGCAAGTATGTGACTGCGGGTCAGTGAGTGTGACCTTTGGAAAGGCACTTGTACACATACAAAACCCAGGTGTTTTCGTGTCATTTAGAGGAGTGGAAACATGAAATACTATATATACCACAAGGTAAAAACTGTTAAGAAGTAGACTGTTTAGCCCTGGCCAGTGTTGCTCAGTGGTTGGAGTGTCATCCTGTACACAATATGGTAATCAGGCCCTGGACAGTTTGGCACAGCGGTTAGAGTGTCTGCCTGCAGTCCAGAGAGACCCGGGTTTGGTTCCCGCTAAGGGTGCGTGCCTCGGTTGCAGTTTGTCCCCGGCCCTGGTTGGTCGTGCGGGTGGCAGCCACTCGATGTGTCCCTTTCAAATTGATGTCTCTCTCTCTCTCTTCCTCTCTCTCCCTCCCACTCTATCTGAACAAAAAATGGGAAAATGTCCTTGGGTGAGGATATTAAAAAAAAAGGTAGGGCACATGCTGGAGGCAGCTGATCAATGTTTCTCTCACATTAGTGTTTCTCTCTCTCCTTCCCTCTCTCCCTCCCTCTATAAATATATATTTTTTTAAAAGAAGTAAAGCATTTAGTAGATCTGAGGCCTCAGGTTTCCTGTATCCTGATCCCACCAGCATATGGTGTTGGATAAGTCTTTTATTCAAGTGTTGTTTTATCCCATGGAACATTTTATGAAAACATTTTAAATACAGAGTAATTTTCTCTACAGAAGATTTATAATTTATATTCTTTCCATTAAGAAAAGTTTTTTTTCTTTTTAAGAGAGATGGAAACATCCATGTGCGAAACATCCATCAGCTGCCTCCTGCACGCCCCCTACTGGGGATCAAGCCCACAACCTGGGCAGGTGCCCCTACTGGGAATCTAGCCAGGACCTCTCAGTCCATGGGGAGATGCTCATTCCACTGAGCCACACCGGCCAGGTTACGAAAAGTTTTAAATGTACTTTAGAAAGACATCTTTGCTTTGAAATTTGATTGAGCCTCAACCATGTAGGCAACTAATATTGACCTATTAGTAAATATTTAACTATTTTTTAAAGATTTTTTAAAAATTGATTTTGAGAGAGAGAGAAATAGAAACATCGATGTGAGAGCAGAATATCAGTTGACTGGCTGCTGCCCTGGCCAGTTTGGTTCAGCAGTTAGAGCGTTGGCCCACAGTCCAGAGAGACTCGGGTTTGGTTCCCCTAAGGGCATATACTCGGTTGCGGTTTGTCCCCAACCCCAGTTGGGGTCGTGTGGGTGGCAGCCAGTTGATGTGTCTCTCTCACATCGATGTTTCTCTCTCTCTGTTCCTCCCTCTCTCTTGCTGTATCTGAAGATGAATGCAAAAAATGTCCTTGGGTGAGGATTAAAAACAAAAACCCCTTATTAAAAAAAATAAAGTAAAAAAATTTTAAAAACCAATTGGCTGGCTGCCTCCTGCACTCCCCCACTGGGGATCAAGCCCTCAACCGAGTTATGTGCCCTGACCAGGAATTGAACCAGCAACCTTTTGGTGCATGGGATGATACTAGCCACTAAGCCACACCAGCCAGGGCTAATATTTAACTATTGACTGATGAGAAGATCTGTTTATCAGTGGCACTCTGCACGGTGCTGGTGATATGGCAGTGCGGAATAACGGCTCATTTTTATTAAGCAGCTCTGTGTGTTAGGTACTGTGTGATCAGCTATTTCATCAAACCTCACAATAATCACCATGTCCCCATGTTACTGCTGAAAGTAAATAATTTGCCCAGAGTCACACAGTTCTCTCTGCTAGGATTCAAAGCCAGATAGGTGACTACAGAGCCTGGTCTTAAAAAGACAACCAGAATTCTGCCTTATGATTATACTTTTGTGGGAGAAATACCCACCAAATGTGGAAATAGGATGCTCTCCCATTGTGTAAAGTGCTTTGAAGATAAAAACAGGTCATGTGCTACAGTGTGTGTGTGCGTGTGCACTACCCTAGACGGGATTAGGTATGACCTTTCTGCAGAGGCAGCAGGCCTGAATAATGACAAAAGCCTAGCCATGCTAAGGTCTGGGGTTAGAGCCTGCCAAGGAGAGGGAGTAGCAAGAGCCTGCGGAGACCAAGTTTGGCCATGGTGAGCTAGGGTGCATGGGGTACAAGATGCATCAAGAGATGAGCAGAGACTGCACATGTGATTATGTCCCAAACTGCAGCACAGTAGCCAGCAGCTCCAGGATTTCAAAGAGAAGCATTCTATTTCTAAGTTCTTGATGCTTTGAGGAACATGGTTTTGGCCTTTTTTTTTTTGACATGTGGTTTGAATCATGTCTTCTCTGCTTGATGTTAGGTTCCTGGAAGGTGATGTGAAGGATAACTTCGCAGCAGCAGTATTGACTTCTGGAGCAATTGCCATTTGGGACTTACTTCTAGGTCATTGCACAGCTCTTCTGCCACCCATCTCTGACCAGAACTGGTCTTTTGTTAAATGGTCAGGTACAGATTCTCATTTGCTGGCTGGACAAAAAGATGGAAACATATTTGTATATTTAATAAGTTAGGGTAAGGTGAAAACATGGTGTTCTGGATATATTTGGCCTCCTCGCACTTTTTGGAGGTATAACGATAAAGTATCTGAATGACATTAAAGTAATTATTTGTATTCTTTCAGACAGGCTTTTTATTCTGATGGTGGAGGCCCTGCTGATCTTTAATGTTCATTTACACATGGGGAAAAGGACTTGAGGTTAATTTTTGTAACTCCTCTTATTTGTACATTTGCTTTTAAAAGTGTAAATTAAGTTTCAAATGTTAATAAATATTTCTTTGGCATACTCTCCCTCCCGGGAGCATGCCCACACCTTTGTTCCCCTGTATTTCTCAGGCGTGCTTTGTCTCCCTGAGCTCTGAGGGTCCCCACGAGCCTCGCAGCCAGGGGAGCAGTGGCAGCAGCAGCTCGTCCAGGCTAACTCGGGCCTGACGCAGAGCAGCCCCGGCTCTCCTGTTGCTCCTTCTGCCCAAAGCCCTTTCTTGTTTCACTGTCCCCAGTTTTAATAAACGTCCTCTCACAATAAAATAAATAAATATGTCGATACAGCCTGCTTAGCATATTATGTTCTTCCCATCCTATTAAAATCATTTTCAGAAACAAGGATTTTACAATTAGAATAGTCAATGATGTTTACATAGAGTAAATTGTAGTTAACTTACTATACTAACATGTAATATATTTTTATGTCATTTGGCTTTATTTCCACATAACTACTAAAAGTAATACAAGATCCATTGAAATATGTTAATTTAGAAATAATTCTTGCCAGGCTGGTGTGGCTCAGTGGTTGGGCATCAACGCATGCACCAAGAGGTCACTGGTTGATTCCTGGTCAGGACACATGCCCAGGTTGTGAGCCAAATCCCCAGTGGAGGGCATGAAGGAGATAGCAAATCAATGTTTTCTCTCATTGATGTTTCTATCTCTCTCTCCCTCTCCCTTCCTCTCTCTAAAATTAATTAAGGGAAAAAAAGGGGGAGGGGTTAAATAGTTCTTCAGCCCAGCCAGTGTGGCTTAATGGACAGAAAGATCCTGGTTCAGTTCCGGGTCAGGGCACATGCCTGGGTTGTGGGCTCAGTCCCCGTTAGGGGACGTGTAGGAGGCAGCCGAAGGAGTCTTACATTTTTGGTTTGGTGGACAATGGTGTGAGCAAATGAAACAGAGAACACACAGAATGAAAGGTAGGTCCCTGCGTGTTTATAGATCATCTGGGAATATTGGACATGGGGCTGTGAAGCTCACAGAAGAGGCCAGGGCTAGATGCACGTGGGAATTAAAACCTGTGCAGTGAAACAGTTCTGAAAACTTGTATTTTTTTTTTATTTTTTTTATTTTTTGTACAGATAGAATGGGAGGGAGAGAGAGGAAGGGGGAGAGAGAGGGAAACATCGACTTGAAGGGACACATCGAGTGGCTGCCACCCGCACGACCAACCAGGGCCGGGGACAAACTGCAACCGAAGTACGTGCCCTTAGCGGGAACCGAACCCGGGTCTCTCCGGACCGCAGGCCGACGCTCTAACCGCTGAGCCAAACTGGCCAGGGCTGAAAACTTGTATTTTTAAAGTCAAGAGTGGGTCAAGGACAGAGCCCTGAGGACCAATGTTTACATGATAAGCAGAGGAGATAGAGCCATGAAAAAGACAAAAGGAATGGCCAGCAAGTTTATATTTATTGAACTTGACAATTTAAGATGTAGTGGTGAGCTTTATGACAAGCTTCAGTAATTGTGCAAGTGGGGTGTCGAGAAGAATTTTGATTTGAATGGATAAAAAAGTGAATATGAAGTGAAGAATTAAAGTGTTTTCAAGAAGCTTGCTTATGAAGGGAAGGAGGAATGGTAGTGTTAAAATACATGAAGGTTAGTGGGTGAGGCCTGTGGCCTTGTTTTTAGGCCAGGAGAAACTCTGGCATGTTTATGGGCTCAGAGGAAAGAGAAGAAAGAAAGGATAAAGATGTTGGGGAGAAGATATGACTGGCGGAACATGGTCCTAGGAGAACAGAGGGGTAAGACAATAGTGCAAATGGGCTGGAAGGAGGGAGGGATAACTGCTGGGTTGGTGGGGTGACGTGTGCAGGAAGCTGACAATTTATGCTTATAAATCCTTTGATGAGGGTGCTGCTGAGAAGCACCAGTGTCCTCTGTTAAGTCTTCCCAGCTGCTGAGGATTTGATCTTAATCTTAATATTGAACCTTTTACCCGATAGGCCATGTAGGCTGACATTCTCTCTTTGTTTGCTGAAGGGAAAAGTAGCTCTCCCAAAATATGTCATTTAAATAAGAAGTGATTTATTATATTGACGAAAAGGATTCGATGGAACACAGAAATATAGATAGGTCATGGGAAGAGAGAGTCTTAGTGTAGGCTTAGTAGGCCAACAGGCTCTCCCTGAGTTCTCCCTCTTTTGTTAATGCTGTGCGTCACCATCATGGGGTTGTCTCATGGGCTTGCCTCAAAGTGTGGCCTGGCCCGGCTGGTGTGGCTCGGTAAATTGATCATCGTCCCATGGACTGAGAGGTCCTAGTTTGATTCCGGGCAGGACACATGGTCAGGTTGCAGGCTCAGGGGCGTGCAGGAGGCAGCCAATCGAAGTTTCTCTCTCATCAATGTTTCTCTCTTTCTCTCCCTTCCTCTCTGTGTAAAAGACAATAAAAATTTGTTGTTTTTTTTAAAAAAATGGAGTTTGGGTCCTGGCCAGTTTGGCTAAGCAGTTAGAGCGTTGGCCCATGGACCAAAGAGTCTCGCATTCGATTCCAGGTAAACGCATGTACCTCAGTAGCAGTTCGGTCCTGGCCCTGGTTGGGGGTTGTGCAGGAGGCAGCCAATTCATGTGTCTCTCACCTCGATGTTTCTCTCTCTCTCACTCTCTCTCTCTCCATCCCACTCTATTTATGAAGATAAATAGAAAAAATCCTCAGGGGAGGGTTTAAAAAAAAAAAAAGGACTTTGGCCATTTATTCACTGACCATTCCAAAGAGGTGATACAATTGCTCTTCCAATTGCTTAATAAACAGTGAAATGGTGGTGATTAAATCAGGGTGCAGGAGAAGCCTGGCATAGAACTCTGGCATCACCAGCAGCGGAACGATTCCTGAGGTTTTCCTCCTGATCAATTCAATCAAATATACCTCCTAAGAGAGGCCTTCAGGGACCACCCTACCTAAAATCACACACCTGTACTCCCTCACTATTCCTTTCCCCATTTATTGTTCTTGTGTTTATCACAACTGCTTTGAGTTGTTTATTTGGGAGGGGGTATATTTTTATTTCTTTATTGTCTGTCTTTCCACTGGAATGTAATCCCTATGGGGCTAAATAGTCTGTCTGGCTTGCTCACTGCTGTAGCTCAACAACTAGTACATGGCAGATACTCAAATTTTTAGTGAACACATAAATAATTTTACAACAGTGGGATCATACTATGCATTCTATTTTTTAAAAATATTTTTATTGATTTTTTAGAGATAGAGGAAGGGAGAGGAGAGGAAGAGAATGAGAAACATCTATGTGAGAGCACAAGATGGATGGGTTGCCTCCTGCACGCCCCCTACCAGGGATGAGCCCACAAACCCAGGCATGGGGCCTGACTGGGAATGGAACCAGCAACTTTTTGGTGTACAGGACAACACCCAACCAACTGAGCCACACCGGCCAGGGCTCTAATTTTTTTATTTTTATATTTTTTAATCCTCACCCAAGGCCCGGCCGGTGGAGCATCGACCCATGCACCAAGAGACTGCCAGTCAGGGCACGTGCCCAGGTGTGGGCCAAATCCCCAGTGGGGGGCATGCAGAAGGCAGCCACTCGATGTTCCGTCTCATCGATGTTTCCATCTCTCTCCCCCTCTCCCTTCCTTCCTTTCTTTCTAAAATCAATAAAGGAAAAAAAAATTTTTTTTAAATCCTCACCTGAGGACATGCTTAGAGAAAGTGAGAGAGAGAAACATCTATGGGATGCCTCCTGTACACACTCGACGGGGGATCGAACCGCAACCCGAGTTAGTCTTATATATTAAAATTGTCTTAAATATTTATATATTTAAATTTCACTTTCTTATTTTATACAGTTTTGATATATTCAATAATTTTAATTTCTGTGAAAGAATCGCGCATCAAAACTTAAATAAATGTGTTTCAGAACTTTCAGAGAGTAAGTGGAAGTGAGTTCATTTCCTGTGTCAATGATTAGTGGTAAGGTTCCCAAAGGCCGCTGGGCACCATGTTAGTTCTGGCCCCTGCAGCCATGCGCCTCCGGACTGGAGCGGCCAAGCTGCACGCCCCGAGGGCGCAGTGCCGCCAGGGGCCGCCAGGGGCCGCCACCGCTGGCTGGGGCTCGGCAGCGCCGCTCTGTGCGTCGCTCGCACCGATGGGAGAGGAAACTAGACCCGCGAGGCGTAGCGCAGTGCAACCTGGGTCGGCGTAGCCATGGCGGCTCGTGTCCTTTCCTCCTGTGTCCGCCGACTGCCCGCGGCCTTGGCGGCGCTGCCCCGGGTTCCCACGCTGGCCGCTGCCCGGCCGCTCAGCACCAGGCTGTGCCCCGCGGGGACTCAGACGAGGCCCGGGGCTCCGGCCTTGGTGCTCGCGCAGGTGACTCGCGGTGACTTTGCTACGGCTTGACAGGGGTCAGGGATCGGGCTCGCTGGGGGCGGGGGCCGGGCCGCGGGGCCGCGCCAGGCGTCGGGGGGTGACCGGGGACGTCTGGCTCGCTCCCCTCCCCCTGCCTCACGGAGCTCGGAGGCCGTGCTCCCTAGTGACACCCGTGGGTTCGAGCCGGGCTGCCACTTAACCAAAGCTGCGGACCAGTCTGACCTCGCTGAGCCTCGGCCTGAACGTCGGGTCGGGATCCTAGTCTACCCTGTGCGGCCGCGTGGGGCTTAGAGGAGATAGGGCCGGTAGAGCACTTGGGGCGGCGCTTGGTAAGCTCCCCAAGTATTGGTGGCCTTTAGCCCTAGTGATAGTGGTAAATACGGTGATAGCCTTCGAGGCGGAAAACGAATGACAGCGTGCAGAAGGAAACCACGCCGGCCCACAGCCTTCTCCGGGGCAGGTCCTTCC